GGAGTTTAAAAAAGTGAAACCTCTGTTGGACATATTCAGCAATCCTTTCACGATTTCAGTTGAAAATGCGCCAGAGTCAATGCAGTTAGAAATTATCGACATTCAAAACAACCAAGATTTACGCAACAAATTCAACAAAGGAGACTTGCTGAACTTTTACCGCTGCATTGATAAAAATACGTACAAAGAGTTGCGCATAAACGCTCTGAAATGTGCCAGCTTATTTGGTTCTACCTATATATGTGAACAAACCTTTTCAATACTAAATAATAATAAAACAAAAAATCGAAACCGCCTTGCAAATGAAAGTTTAAAAGCAGTTTTACGTGTTGCTACAAGTAAATTTGAGCCAAATGTAAAAAAGATTGTAAGCACTTTGCAGTGCCACGCTTCAAATTAATAAATTCTTTTTCAGTTTTAATACATTATTATCAATTCTTTATTGTCTTTAATTACCTATACTTCTGGCGGCCCGCCATCAGTTCATAATTTGCCCGAGTGGCCCTAGTCTTAATAAGTTTGTGCATCACTGGTTTAAAAGATCTACGCGTGCAGACGGCGGGAAGCGACTTTCTTTTATACTATGTAGAGATTTATCATACGAAACATTTTTATTTTATGAAAGTTGAATATATGCATGATATAATTTTAATAAGAATATCTTTTGTAAGATGGTTGAATTGTTGGTGAAGTAAGGTTCTCAGAACAGAGTTAACAAAGGAAAGACTTACGTGTCTTACGATCGTATTTTGGGACAGTCATTGCGGGAGGTTTATATTTAACAAGAAAAGGGATATCAGCATGAAGTTTTATATTTTACTTTTACTTACGCATAAGGTAAAATCGACTTCTCCGCTTCGCAGGGTTGGGATATATCAAACCGACACTCATCGCGAATGTGATTATCTTGTAGGTCTCATGAAATGGCTTGTATTCTCCGTCATCCATTTCTGTAACATTTATGTTTCTAGTTATTACATTCTTGATGAGTAATGATCCACGATTTTATCTGCCACCGGGGCGGTACCAGTTTGGAGTGAAGTGTAATAGGGGTTTGATGTTTCATGGAGGGGAAGTTAATGCAAGAGTTAATGTTTCCTTCTGTAATATTAGTAATATTTTATATAAATTAGATTAGAAATGAATAAACTGAACTACGGGTATTCGTAAAAGTAGAAAAATTATAAAAAAAGAGTTTAAAATATGTCTGCATAAAATAAAGAACACACCACTGAAACATTGTTTTGTGCATTAATGTAATATAAAGAATGTAATATAAATATAAAAAAATATAAATGCATTAATATAAAGAAACTCATAAAATTTTATTTAAAACAAACTTCTCAATTAAGACATTGTGGAACAAAAAACTTCACCTCAGTCCATACTAGCGACATCTAGTGAGTGTAAGATTATTAGCCGTCATTAAAACCTTATGGCTTACCTCCGATCTAATCACGACCTTACATCTCGGGCGGAGTCGAGCGATTTTTTTATACATGTAGGCGAGCGAGCCCACAACCACCTTGTGATAATTGGATGCTGAGATTCATATACACATAATGATCATTAGTTCAATCGTCCATCCAGACACGGAACAATTATTTCAAGACCATCCAAATACTTGGATTCGAACCCACGGCCTTCAGCGCCCCGGAGTCGTCGTACTTCGTACGCGTACTTAAAGTGATTGAATAGTGGATGATTTTGTTGATATTATAAGTCCATTTCTAAATTATATATATAAACATAAATAATCCTATGATCCCCGAAACTCTTCACCGCTGCATTGGAAGACGTTTTCAAGCTACTGGACTGGAAAGGATACGGTATTAACATCAATGGCGAGTACATCACTCACCTTCGATTTGCCGACGATATAGTCCTTATGGCAGAATCGCTGGAGGACTTAAGCACTATGCTCAATGACCTCAATAGTGCCTCCCAACGGATAGGTCTTAAGATGAACATGGACAAAACAAAGATCATGTTCAATGTCCATGTCACACCTATGCCGGTAGTTGTTGGGAGCACTATGCTCGAAGTTGTTGACGAATACGTTTACCTGGGACAAATAGTCCGACTAGGTAAGTCCAACTTCGACCGAGAGGTCAATCGACGGATTCAACTCGGCTGGGCAGCGTTCGGGAAATTACGGCATATCTTTTCGTCAGGTATACCTCAATCTCTAAAAACTAGATTGTACAACCAGTGCGTGTTGCCAGTGATGACTTACGGATCTGAGACGTGGTCCTTCACTGCTGGCCGTATGAGGACGCTTAAGGTCGCTCAGCGAGCTATGGAGAGGGCTATGCTCGGAGTTTCTCTGCGTGATAGACTCAGAAATGAGAATATCCGCAGTAAAACTAGAGTGACCGACATAGCCCAACGGATTAGTAAGCTGAAGTGGCAATGGGCCGGCCATATAGCTCGAAGAACCGATAACCGATGGGGAAGAAAGGTTCTCGAGTGGCAGCCTCGTACCGGTAGGCGTAGTGTAGGGCGACCCCCCACTAGATGGAGTGACGACCTGGTAAGACATGCAGGAAGTCGATGGATGCAGGTGGCTCAGGACCGTGCTTTGTGGCATTACTTGGGGGAGGCCTATGTTCAGCAGTGGACTTGTGAAGGGCTGTAATGATGATGATGAATCCTATGATGTTATGACTAAAGAAATTTCGTTTATAATTATGATTTTTTTATTAAATTTATATCGTACTTACTGTCCTCTAGGAAAAACCTCCCTGATCTGCTGTAATTTTTTAATTTTACTGTGACTTAAATTTCTTAAACGCAATGAATTAATGAGCAAATTATCATTTGAATGAATTATCGTGTTCTACAGTATGTTTTTAAATTACTTAATAGTTGAGTATAAAATTTTATAGTCTTTACAGTTGGAGATTTTAATTTTAACTGTAGATTAGGTTTCTGAGATCTCCGATTCGATTTGCGCGTCTTGTGGTGTGTAGTCTATTGTCGATATTTTTTCAGATACTTTCCCTAAATATAGGAAAAATCTAATAGATCACTATCGTAAATGATTTGTGAATGATTTAATTATAATCTAATATCCATCTTTCTTACATCTGCGGCTTGGTTATATGCATTATTTTTATTGTCTCAGTTATATATTATCTTTAGATAATTTTTTTGTGACATATAAGCTATTGTAATTTCGCTGTCTACATTATTATCTGGGGCACGGTAGTGTCCCCGCCAAGTCGAGCAAAAAAGCGACACGGCCGTACCATACTTTTCGCGAAGCAGTTCAGGCCATTTTCGACCCCCCCCCCCATTTACTTCGTTGTGGATAAAACTAGGAGCCTGAGGTTTCTGTAACCAAGCAGGCATTGTAATTTTTTTATAGGATAGGGTGACCAACTAGCACACAGTCCACCTGATGGTATGTGAAATCTGTGGCTCATAGACATCTTCGTATATCCCCGATTAAGAATCAAATTGTGCGGACTAAGATGGAATGCCTCGTTTCCAGTAAGAAGGGTCTCCGTTTCCCTATACTTACCATAGGAAACACAACAGCATTAAGCTGCTAATTTACGCTGGTATTTTGTGTGACCGTGGTACATCTCTAGAGGGGCATTTTCGTGCTACAGTCATATATAGCTGCAGCATGGCTCTACCACGTATAATGTAATTTGTTCACACGTTCAAAAATTTAAATGTTTTGTAACATATTTTTTATTTTGTAACAGGTTTTATGCTAACGTTACGTTATAAAAAATACGGTATAAGCGATCAAAGCGCGAATACCTCTAGGCGATATGATTATGCTCTGTACAATTTTATATCCTATCAACCCACTTAATTATTCTTTGTGACTTTATACCGTGATTACAGATCGGCCTTATCAAAGATTTAATTGAATAAATTACCTTAATGTTGTGAATCGGTGATATATAAATCATCATATATATCACCCATGTCATTATAGGACAGCTAAATACTTTTAATAATTCTGTAGTATATTGTTATTAATAGTTATATAAAAATAAAATAAATTAATTACAAACACTACATGGCTTGCATTTCTTTATTTATATATTTTTTTACCCGACTTCCGAGGAGGAAGATAATATTTTTTGAGAGTATGTATGTACGTCTATTTTTTTGTTACGCTCTGTAGCCTAAACGGCTCAAAGGATTTTAACATATAGGGTGTCGTTGAATTTCTCTTAGTTGTAGAATTAACATCTTAATCTTAATACATATAAATTACGTGCCATGTTGTTCGTCCGCGATGGACTCCTAAACTACTTAACCGATTTTAATCAAATTTGCACACCGTGTAAAGTTTGGTCCAACTTGAGAGTTAGGAAAGTTTTTTTGCCCCTGAGTGACCAACAATTTTTTTTTGCGAATTTAGGGATTTTTGATAGGACATGACAAAGGATCGTCGAAAAGGGCAGAACGACGTCTGCCTGGCAAGCTAGTTAGGTATAAAAATTTTCTCTTTCCTTCTTTCCAGTAAACTTTTTGCGTAGTCGGAAAGGAAAAAAAAAAAAAAAAAAAAAAAAAAAAAAGCTTTTTAACCAATAAGTTCGTTTATTTACACGAACATTGTACATTTGGAAAATTACTCTTTTACAGATCTTATCGTATTAATTTTTTTTGGTTTAAATCTCCGACATTAGGAATTCTTCGTTGCACCCATGAGATCATCGAGGAACTGAGGGAACACACTTGACCCGGACTGCCTTTAGCTATTTGTTTTTAATTTCGGTACGATCTAGTAAAATAAGCATACTGTATCTGAATTATCAGTGCTAGATATGGAGAGATGTTGATTTAGGAGCCTAAGCAGATGGTAACTCGTTGTTATCCTCATTTTTACAAAGAAGATCAAAAAGTTCCATACGGTACATACCGGCGTAATTTACAATAAACTCTAAATGATTATTTTTCTGTTAAAGAGAATTTCTGCATCATAGGGAAAGATTGAATCAAAATACTAATATGTAATATATCTTCCCCGCTAGGTATGCAACGCAGCGTTGGAGGTGTACGTGCGTCGAGCGTACATGTCATATGACATCACCTGTCTCCAGCATCTGGTATTGTCGGGCGAGCTGGGCGTTGTCCACTTTCAGTTCATCCTGCCGACTGGTCACCCTAACAGGTGGGTACATGCTGATGTTCGTCATGCATCGATACTTCATCATTATTGTTTAAAGCTTTCAAACCGTTCATCTATTCGTCTACTTATTACAGCCTTATTACAGAACTGAAACTGAACATAGGTTCAGTTTCATTTCCCCCGAGGAATGTTAAATGTATAATACTTCTTATCGTGTTTATGTTGTTGCTGTATCATCATCATCATTACAGCCCTTCACAAGTCCACTGCTGAACATAGGCCTCCCCCAAGTAATGCCACAAAGCACGGTCCTGAGCCACCTGCATCCATCGACTTCCTGCATGTCTTACCAGGTCGTCACTCCATCTAGTGGGGGGTCGCCCTACACTACGCCTACCGGTACGAGGCTGCCACTCGAGAACCTTTCTTCCCCATCGGTTATCGGTTCTTCGAGCTATATGGCCGGCCCATTGCCACTTCAGCTTACTAATCCGATGGGCTATGTCGGTCACTCTGGTTTTACTGCGGATATCCTCATTTCTGAGTCTATCACGCAGAGAAACTCCAAGCATAGCCCTCTCCATAGCTCGCTGAGCGACCTTAAGCGTCCTCATACGGCCAGCAGTGAAGGACCACGTCTCAGATCCGTAAGTCATCACTGGCAACACGCACTGGTTGTACAATCTAGTTTTTAGAGATTGAGGTATACCTGACGAAAAGATATGTCGTAATTTCCCGAACGCTGCCCAGCCGAGTTGAATCCGTCGATTGACCTCTCGGTCGAAGTTGGACTTACCTAGTCGGACTATTTGTCCCAGGTAAACGTACTCGTCAACAACTTCGAGCATAGTGCTCCCAACAACTACCGGCATAGGTGTGACATGGACATTAAACATGATCTTTGTTTTGTCCATGTTCATCTTAAGACCTATCCGTTGGGAGGCACTATTGAGGTCATTGAGCATAATGCTTAAGTCCTCCAGCGATTCTGCCATAATGACTATATCGTCGGCAAATCGAAGGTGAGTGATGTAGTCGCCATTGATGTTAATACCGTATCCTTTCCAGTCCAGTAGCTCGAAAACGTCTTCCAACGCAGCGGTGAAGAGTTTCGGAGATATAACATCACCCTGTCTTACACCTCTCTGCAGTTGGATAGGTTTCGAACTCTGGTTCTGTACTCGGATAGCCATCGTAGCCCTACTGTACAAACACTTCAGCACTTCGATATACCGACTGTCAACTTGGCATCGCTGAAGGGACTGTAGCACCGCCCAAATTTCGACGGAATCAAAGGCTTTCTCATAGTCCACATATGCCAGGCAAAGTGGCAGATTGTACTCTTCGGTCTTCTGTACAATCTGCCGCAGGGTATGTATGTGGTCTATGGTACTGAAGCCTTTTCGGAAACCGGCTTGTTCGGGAGGCTGGAAGTCGTCGAGTCTGCGTGCGAGACGATTTGTAATATTTAATATTTGATTTGTTTTGTTGCTGTATAGGACGACATTAATATTCTTGATGATGACGAGGAAGAACCGCGCTCGTATGTAAAACCAGCGTATCTGTATTGATTATAAGCTGTCTTTTTATATAACTATTTACACATCAACATGGTATAGGGATATTTTTAATAACATTGACCAACTATAAAAGTACAGGCCACTTTAAAATGTTTTTAATATAAAATTGTTCGTCATTAATTCCAGATTGATTATAAATATAAATAAAAAAATGTGATGGCAGTAAAAATTGAGTTGTACTAGAGGGAGCTAATTTTTTCATACTCAGAGTATTTTTTTTTGTTGAAAACAGCTATTTAAACATATTCTAAATTCAAGTTGGGTTGATTGTGATAATTCGACATTTTATTGCAATGCAAATTCGATATTTAACTGTGGGAAGAGATGTTAATAGCAGTGGAAATGCTGCAGCTGATGCTTTCCACGTGACGCCGCTGGGATAGCATGCACCTAACACAATGTGACTTCAAGGTGGTGGTGGCGCTGTCGTGCCACGAGGGAGGTGGCGGAGAGATATCCAAGACCAAAATTCATTACTACGTCCAGTCAAGACCGTTTTTTTTGCAAATTACTGCGAGAACGCAACTATATGTTACGGCTATGCAATTGGTCGAAAGGTATATCGAAGTGCTGAAGTGTTTGTATAGTATGGCTACGATGGCTATCCGAGTATAGAACCAGAGTACGAAACCTATCCAACTGCAGAGAGGTATAAGACAGGGTGACATTATATCCCTGAATTTTTGGAACATTGGAAGACCTTATCAAGTTATTGAACTGGAAAGAACACGGTATTAATAACATCAATGGCGAATACATCACTCACCTTCGATTTGCCGACGATATAGTCCTTATGGCAGGATCGCTAAAGGACCTTAGCACAATGACCTCAAGAATGCCTCCCAACGGATACGGAAACGTAGAACCAGAGTGACCGACATAGCCCAACGGATTAGTTAGCTGATTTGGCAATGGGCTTGCCATATAGCTCAAAGAAACGAGGTTCTCGAGTGGCAGCCTCTTACCGGTAGGCATAGTGTAGGGCGACGCCCCACTAGATGGAGTGACGACCTGGTAAGACATGCAGAAAATTGATGGACGCAGGTGGCTCAGGACCGTGGTTTTTGGCATTCCTTTTGGGAGGCCTAGGTCTTGTGAAGGGCTGTTGATCATGTTGATGATGACTGATGATGGCTGATCTGCTGTGAGTGAGTCCAATCGTTGTCCCAGCGTGCTGAGTAGCGCTCATATTCCAAGTTATTCCCGCCTGCTAGCACATTCTTAGTAGTTGCCCTAAAAACTGTGGAGCTTTGGCGGAAATTTACCTTCGGCAGATTGTTGCTCCTCTTTTATTAATACGGTTTCATTGGTAAGAAGTGGAACGTCGGACTTTTACGGGTTGATGATGAAAATTATGTTGAAATACTAGATATTACACAACCACCATATGGTTAATCCTTTGAAGCATTTATCCACTTCCACCGTTATCGTTTATAAACTTTTTAAATTGATGCAGGATCCCAATCAGTCAGTCGGAGATCGAGCTATCTGCGGAACAAGATCAAGAAGGCATCCCAGCAGAGCTGTGTGCCGCCGCGATGCAGAAGTGCCACCACAGGACCGGTGCCTTAGCCGCCTTCCAATCCTTCGACCAGTTCGTGCAGTACGCCGACGAACTGCTGGATCTCGTACATGACTTCGCCAGCTCGGCTACTGTAAGACGGGAGGTGAGAAATTTGTTTTATTAATTATGTGTTTAAAGTTATTTATTTGTTATTGCTAAACAGCAATCTTTCTGCCAAAAAGTTTTGAAAGTTTTTGACAGGAATGATCAATTGCGCGTGTGATCATTCTTTTAACGGTAGGAATATGATTCTGACTCTGATGAATTCCCAACTTGCGTTACGAGGGATCTCAACAAGCTGCGTACTGTGACATTCGATCTCGTAGACGTGACCAGATTGTTGAAAGGCCACGTTGAAAGTCGAAGTCAATGACATCCGTTTCAAACTCGAAGAATCAGAACGGGCCGCAACAGAGCTGAGTAATCATTAAAACTTATAAAATCAAAGTTTTATATAAAAAACCTAAATCTTGACAGAGGTACTGGTGGAGCCACGTGTTTAAGGCTGCCGAAAATCTAGTTCCCCGGTCAAACCTCAAACCTATTACGCGAGATATTAACTAAAGTGGACTGTATATGCGATTGCTTCTACGCTTACATAAGGCGACTACTATAGCATGCGGTACAATGCACTCGCTCTTCCCTAAACTAAACTATTACTTGTCGAATCGATGAAAGGAATCCTGCTTGACTAGGAAAAAAAACACAGATTGGAGCGGGTTAAATTATTAGCAAGCAGGTATAATTAAGGAATATTGACTCACCGGGGTTTCTTCTTCCTGTCGATCACTATAGCGGCGACTTCCGGAACCTCCTCTGGACAGACACTTCTGGGGCCCCAGTGGTGCGTCAGGAGAGAAGAGTTGGTTCAACGACGACTGCGGCGGGAGAAGAGGCTCGCGCATCGGTCGCGCGTGTCTTATATATCCTCGGCTCGGGTGATTACGCGATGTTCTAGAATCGTCTTCTTTCCCCTCCCACCCCACCACCCCGATGTGTCGATAGGAGGGTATGAATGATATTGTTTGGAAAGGAATAATGATTCTACAAGTTCCTACCGTCAAATAAAAAACGCGAATGGTTTTCCGCGCAACCATCTCCCCCGCCCTTGAAGGATTTCCTTCAAAAAAAAATAACTAAACAACTAGAGCTAAGATCGACTAACAAATAACTAACTAACGCTAAGATTACCTAAATTAAACTACAATTTCAGTCTAGAAAGCTAATTTAAATTATGGAAGAGGCAAGGGGCACAAACGGATAACCGGACGTAGGTAAGACCCAACCGTGGTCTTAACGCGAGCTATCCTAATTACTCCGTCGGAACCGGGAAAGACCTCCTCGACGATTCCTAACGGCCAGTGGAGAGGCGGCGTATTCTCCTTAGTGAGCACAACTACGGTTCCTACAGCTAAAGGCTCTGTCGCTGTGTTCCATTTTTGCCGAGACTGCAAAGTATGCAAGTATTCCATCCTCCATCGTTTCCAAAACGATTGCACTAACCGATCTAATAATTTGTGGCGTGTGGAAATGCTAAGTCTGTTCTCATCCATATCCGCGGCGGGCAGATACCTTAGAGGCGTTAAAGTCAAAAAATGTGCTGGAGTTAGAGCCAGCGGTTCCGAGGGGTCACTAGATAACGTCCGACAAAGTGGGCGGCTATTCATTACGCATTCAATTTGAGCGAGCACCGTACTTAGCTCTTCGAAGGACAAAATTTGATCTCCTATTACTCGGTATAAGTGGCTCTTTAGACTTTTAATATTAGTCTCCCAATTGCCCCCAAAATGACTCGCGGCTGGGACGTTCAGAGACCACTCAATGCGGTTCTCGGCTAGAATGTGAGCGAACTCCGAATTATAATACTTGCTAGCTAAGAGCTCGTGTAGTTCCGATAGAATACGTTTTGCACCGACGTAGTTCGTACCGTTATCCGAATATAATTTACTTACAGGGCCTCTGCGCGATAGAAATCTTTTAAATGCACCCATAAAGCCTGCTGTGCTTAGATCACCAACGAGTTCTATATGCACTGCTCGAGTAGTTAGACATACGAAAATGCAGACGTAAGCCTTTGTGGATCTTATACCACGCCCGCGAGTGAGCGTGACCTTAAACGGACCAGCAAAATCAGACCCGGTGTGCGTGAAGGGCTTTACCGATTGTATCACTCTACAAGATCTAAGTTCCGCCATTTCCGGAAATGACGGCTTGGGGCGTGCCCGAAAGCAAGCTATACATCTGTGCACCCGATTGCGTATTAAACTACGTGCAGAAAGAATCCAATAATTCTGACGCAAGATCGACATCAATAAATCGGGGCCAGCGTGCGAGTTCAATTTATGATGATAATCGACTAATAAGTTCATGATATGGTCTTTACGCGGTAAAACTATAGGGTGCCGTTGGTCGAAACTCAATTGCGAGTTGGACAAGCGTCCACCTACCCTTACAATCCCATCCTGTAAAAATGGCTTAAGGCGTTGAAAGGCGCGACTACAAGCTCTATTCGATTGTAATCTTGTAATTTCTTCAGAGAAGTGCGCACGTTGAAGTTCACGTAATACTAGCGACTCGGCATAGTTGTAATCGGTTGCTAAGACATACGGACGTCGCGGTAAAAGCTTCGCGAATCGACAAACGTAAATTACGCTACGCAATAATTTCGACCAAGAGGACAAGCGGTTCGCCAGAGCAATGATTGGAGAAACCTCGCTCGAAACGTTCGCCACTAGAGCGTGTCTCTTCTCTTCCGGCGGTTGTGACACTGACGAAGGTTCGAAATCGGTTATTGGCCATTGTGAGGGATCCAAGTGAACCCAAGAAGGTCCATGGAACCAAAGCGGGTGGTCCATTATTTGCATCGGGGTGAGTCCCCGGGATAGACAATCGGCAGGGTTTTCCTTACCGGACACGTGATAAAAGTTCCGCGTTTCTAACTCGTCTTGGATCTTGGCCACTCGGTTCGCGACAAACGTATCCCAACGGTGGGGTGAAGAATGAACCCAACATAAGGCGACGGTGGAGTCGGAAAAGGCAAATATTCTTTCTATGTGAACTCTATCCCTACATGCGCCGATAACTGTGGTAATAAGCTTGGTGAGTACTAATATTGCGCAAAGCTCTAAGCGCGCCAGAGAGACAACCTTACGGGGGGAGACTCTCGACTTAGAACTAATGAGGCTAATCGAATTTCTACCATTATTCTGGACATGGAAATATACAACGCCCCCGTAAGCCTTCTCGCTGGCGTCTGCAAATCCAACAACCGTTATGCTGCTATTTCTATCGACATTTATATGACGCGGTATTTTAATTTCTCTTAGTAAAGGAAGTTCCTCTCTAAAGCGCTGCCACAATCGAACAATGCTGTCAGGCGGCGAGTCATCCCAATCGCATTCAAATAACCAAAGTTGTTTAATCAAAAGCTTAGCGTATAATACCACCGGAGCTACGAAACCCATGACGTCCCATAATCTAGCAACGCATGACAGTATTGTGCGCTTTGTGCATTTCTCTACGGGCGGATTTACCTTAAGGCTAAACACGTCGGACTCTGGTGACCAACACAGACCGAGCACCTTGTGTGTATCGGAATCGTCGAATTCCTTTATCGCCGAAAGACGGTGTGATAGTGGGATTGTATCTAAAACCGGACGCGAATTACTAGTCCACTTCACAAGATCGAATTGACCCGATTTCATGAGCCTTATAACCTCGGCGGTGGTTAGGGTGGCCTCCTCCACGCTATCGACCGAATACACAAAATCATCCATATATAATCCGCTCTCAATTGCCCTCTTAGCTTTAGGATAAGAGGGACCTTCATCGTGAGCGAGCTGTCTCACCGTGCGTAACGCATGAAATGGGCTCGACTTTAAACCAAAACAAACGCGGTTAAATTCTAACACCATTAGAGGTTCCTTTGGGTGGAAACGATATAAAATGCGCTGGAATCTACGGTCGCATTCACTGACCCCTATGCAAAGAAACATTTGGCGAATATCGGCGGATAGTGCTATACTAAACAAACGAAAATTGACTATTATATCAAATAAACTGCCCTGTAAATTTTGCCCACTATAGAGGATATCGTTAAGCGACAGGTGAGTGCTAGTTTTAGCACTAGCGTCGAGCACTACACGTAATTTAGATGTAAGTTTGTCCTCTCTAATGACTCCGTGGTGTGGTATAAAATACGACGGTGTGTCTTCGTAGTTATCTAATTTCGAAGCCACAAGTGATATGTAACCTTCTCTTATATATTCGTTAATGACGCCGTCGTAAGCTTCCTTTAACTGGGGCGAAGCGAGCATCCTACGCTCCAAGCTGTAGAAACGTTTTTCCGCCATTTGACGCGAATCGCCGAGAGATAAAACATCTCCCTTAAAGGGTAGCGCTACACTATATCTACCGTCGCGATCACGAACGGTCGTGCGGACGTAAATTTCCTCGCATATCCTGTCATCTGAACTAGCTATGGGTGGGACGTTCACCTCCTCCATCTCCCAAAATTTGCGGACTAACGACTCGAGCGGTTCGACAGCCATACCACAATAAGAGGCTGCCGAAATACTATCTAGGATGGGGGCGGAGCCAAGGATCACATAGCCCAATACGGTTTCCAGTGCGTAAGGCGCGGTATGCGAGGAGTTGCTCCTGACCTTATTGTTTAACAAAAGATGAGGGAAAAGCGATGCCCCAATGAGCATGTCTATGTTTCCAGGAACGGCGTAAGTGTCGTCTGCTAGAGTCAAATTTTTAAATTCAATCATTGCCGAGGTGTCAACCGAAACGGTTGGCAACCGTTCAGTGACCCTATCTACTACTAGTGCATTTATATCAAAGTTAACGTTACGATCTATCCGAGAATAAAATTTTAAATTTATATATCCCTGTGTCGCTTTACTAGTACCTCCGATGCCTTTAACTACAGGACATGAAAGTGACCTATTTATTACTAAGCCTAAGCGCTGACAACATTGTCGTGTTATAAAGCTATTTTGGGCTCCGCTGTCCAGCAGTGCACGGACGCTTTGTTTGTTTCCACGCGAATCCCTAACCAAAATACGCGCCGTACCCAGTAACACGGTTGAAGGAGGTTGTGCTCCCATATTTGCCAATGAGCACAGAGCGACATCACCAGGTCGACCGCTAGAATCGTTGACCTTACTAGGGCTGAATTCCTTATTCGCCTTACTTGACGCCGCTATGTTGCTATTTTCAAAATGTAATAGCGTGTGATGTTTCCTGGCGCACTTGCTACATACGGAACTCGAATTGCATTTTGCAACTAAATGCTTATCGCTTAAGCAGTTCAAACATAGGTTGTTTGTTTTTACTAACTTATAACGTTCGCTTGGTGAATATTTACGAAAAGTCGCACAGTTATATAAATTACCGTGTTTATCTTTACATACTATACAAGTATGCTGGAGTGATGTCGGCGTAGCGGTTACGTAAGTTAACGACCCTGCTATTTTAGATGGTTGAGTCTGTCTACGGTCGACGCACCTTTTAATCTCCTGTTTAACGTTCGGTGAGCGCTGCATCACCTTTATTTGATCTCGCACGAACGATGCTAATGAATGAAAGGAAGGCATCTCCGAGCTACGATGCTCCATTTCAAACGCACGCACGGTGTCGGAGTCTAATTTCTTTAATGCTATATGGAGAAACACCACGTCCATGAGGTCATTAAACTTCAAATTCTTAAGTGCAGCCACCGATGCCACAAATTTATCGAGAAACTGCTCTAAGCCGTTGATGTTCGCGGATGATATAGGTTTAAGATCGAATATCTGGTTCAAATATTCGGAAGCTAACATTCTCCTATCTTCATATTTAGTTTTAAGCGTTTCAAATATTAATACGTAATTGTTTGCTGTAGGTGTAAAACCCGAGCAGATCGACTGTGCTCTGCCACTAAGTTTACTAATTAAGTAATATAATTTTTCAGCGTCCGATAACGATGGGTTGTTGTGTATATTGTTTTGAAAACTACTGAAGAAGAAGGGCCACGTCTTAATATCACCATTGAATACCGGAATATCTATTGGCGGTAACCTAATTGAGTCACGAGGGCGTACCTGCATTTCAGGCTTCGCTTCACCTTGAGATTGTAGCAATTTTGCGGTTCTCTTCACGCGACACAACATATCTTCGAATGCCAGCAGCGGTTGGTAGTTCACTATGTATTTCGGGTCGGTTTGTAGTTCCGAATGATTAATTTGATCTAATATTCTTTCGTAATCTGTCCGCAAATTATCTATCGTTTCGATTTCATTTAAAAAGGCCTCCCGTACTGCCTCTATATGAATGTTCTTTATATAATCACTTATATTCTGCATACGCGAAAAGAGTATGTCCCTCTTGGCATAAAGCGTTTTAATTTTGATTTCACTTCCACTAACTGCCATTTTAAATTATTATAATAAAGTTATATTAATCAAAATTAATCTCACACGCATAAACGACGTAGGATGAATACTCGGCGTGCCGTATTACGTAATCAGATCGAGCGCCCGATGCAGTCAAGGCTACGCGTCGTTTGCTAAACCTAATAATTTTATAAAATTGTGGGGTAAGCGTATCAAACGGTTGCTATCACGCCGTTTCAATTATTTAATAAGCTTTAAATTTAACCAAATACGAGCGCTATTAAATGAATAATTCTGTTTGCGAGTAACAAATCAAAATTTTAATTTAAACGAACACTATTTAAGTCTATTCTATAAATTAGAGTGCGTTATCTAAACAATTAATTTAATAATTCGACCAGAAAATGGTTGGATAACCACTAAACACCAATCCAGATCCTGCTCGAAGGACCATAAAATGGTGGAGCCACGTGTTTAAGGCTGCCGAAAATCTAGTTCCCCGGTCAAACCTCAAACCTATTACGCGAGATATTAACTAAAGTGGACTGTATATGCGATTGCTTCTACGCTTACATAAGGCGACTACTATAGCATGCGGTACAATGCACTCGCTCTTCCCTAAACTAAACTATTACTTGTCGAATCGATGAAAGGAATCCTGCTTGACTAGGAAAAAAAAACACAGATTGGAGCGGGTTAAATTATTAGCAAGCAGGTATAATTAAGGAATATTGACTCACCGGGGTTTCTTCTTCCTGTCGATCACTATAGCGGCGACTTCCGGAACCTCCTCTGGACAGACACTTCTGGGGCCCCAGTGGTGCGTCAGGAGAGAAGAGTTGGTTCAACGACGACTGCGGCGGGAGAAGAGGCTCGCGCATCGGTCGCGCGTGTCTTATATATCCTCGGCTCGGGTGATTACGCGATGTTCTAGAATCGTCTTCTTTCCCCTCCCACCCCACCACCCCGATGTGTCGATAGGAGGGTATGAATGATATTGTTTGGAAAGGAATAATGATTCTACAAGTTCCTACCGTCAAATAAAAAACGCGTCAAAAAAAATTACACATTCTCCCTGTATACTTATTTTAATGCTTGGATTATAAATGAGCATTATACCTGCTTATATTAAATAAAGGGGTAACTTAAAAAAAAACATTTATTCAAGGATCTGCAAGCGTTACAAGACGGCAGCGAGAGTCGCGAGAGCACCAGCATTAACGTCGGGCACGACTACAAACCAATTGTTGACGCCGAAGACGTGGTAAGTTCACCTGTTGTTTTGTTAATTTCGTTACAAAGTCTTATATTCACTTATATTCTTACCAAGTATATTCTTACTTTCTTACCTTTTAGCTTATATTATGTTAATGATCGGCCCAATTGAAGTTGTTTTTTCCTACTTGAGGAGAATTAGTAATTTCTTTTAATATATATATATATACTAGCTTGCAAGGCAGACGTTGTTCTGCCCTTTTCCACGACCCTTTGTCATGTCCTATTAAAATCCTTGAATTCGCACAACGTGACACGTAATTTATATATATTAAGATATATTATATGAAGTGAGATTCTCCTTATATGTTGCAAATAAATGTGTGTTACCTCAGAACTTTTTTCTAGGTGAACCTATTTCGATGATTATTTTTTATTCAAAAGCTGTTGTTTCTCATGTGTGCCATATAAATTTGATTAAGATCTGAACAGTAGTGTTTGAGTTATCCTTAATAATACGTATTTAATTGACTTCGACTATATTAATGATGTTCTCATTTTATTTATATTGAAGAGACTGTACAAAACTTTCAATTGTAACCACTTGTGTTATTTAAAATTGGTGCGATTATATATATTGATCCGAATTATTAGTGAAAACGATGAAAAAAGTGCTTCGACGGTGATGTGGACTTCAAGAATACTTGCCTGTTTAGGCGCTTTCACACTATCGCCATCTATCATCCGCTGGCTCAAGCTCCCAAAAAGTTCGCAATGTGACGTATCAACCTATTGTGAAGTAATTGTAGCATACAATTTCTACATTCGAGCGAGTTCATTATCCAAGAAATAAAGAAATATTTATGGATAGGCCTTCTTTTTTGTGAGATTTTTGTGAGAAAATGAGTAAAATATTCTCGCCTGCCTCACACTGTGAGGTGATTTCTTTTCTGTTTGTAAGATTTCTGTACGAATGTTTTGCTAATAATTCAGTAGTCAGATCGTCGACCATCAGCCAGCGGACATTTTGTGTGATCACGAGTAAAGTTTTTATGCTTGTGTTAGGAGTGGTTCATGAAAGTAGCCGAATGGCGGATTCGAGCTAACGAATTTGCATTCGCGGTCTGTTAGTTGGCGTTTGTCACCATTGTTCATCATCATCATTACAGCACTTCACAAGTCCACTGCTTGTGCATGTTTCTCCACTTCTGAGCGTGGGTGCTCAGGCTGCCCCGCGTATTCTGGTGGGGGGGGGGGGCAAAATTCCGCTCAAGACTACAACTGCTCGGGGCAAACGGAGCAACAAGACCAAGGCGACCCCTGCCACGCTGTCCGTGAATTTCTGCAATATCAGGGGACTTCACTCTAACCTAAACGCCGTCCACTACCATCTCGAGACGGCGAGGCCGGCTCTGCTCCTTCTGACCGAGACGCAGGTGATGTCTCGTATCTCTCCTATCCGGGGTACAAACTGGAACACTCCTTTGTGCCTCGGGCTGGAGTTTGCGTTCACGTCAGAGAGAACATCTGCTCTCGACGCCTCGGCAGACTTGAAGGTTCGGACCTGTCCATCCTTTGGCTACGCGTAAACAGCGACGACCATCCGCGCGTCTACGGGTGCCTCTATAGGTCCCATAGCGGTAATGCCGAAACAGACCGACTCTTCGACCACGTCCAAATGGCTACAGATTCGTTGCTACAGCAGATCCCCTCAGCAGAGATCGTGATCCTCGGCGACTTTTTACGCCCATCACGCCGAATGGCTTGGTTCACGTTTAACCGATCATGCGGGGAGATCTGTACATGATTTTGCCTTGGCATATGCTCTGACACAACTGGTTACTTCGCCTACGCGGATTCCAGATGTGGAGGATCATGCACCTTCCCTGTTGGACCTTCTGCTGACCTCTCACCCGGACGGATATCAGATTTCCGTCGACGCCCCTTTAGGCTCCTCGGACCATTGTCTTGTCCGGAGTGTGGTGCCACTCACGCTGAAATCGCGGTTGCATTCTGCAGGCTGCCGCCGTGTTTGGCACTATAGGTCAGCCGATTGGGATGGGATGCGGTCTTTCTTTGCATCCTACCCTTGGGGGCGGGTTTGCTTCTCGCCGGACGATCCCAACGTTGTTGCGGATTCTGTCGCTGATGTGGTACTTCAGGGTATGGAACTTTTTATTCCTTCCTCTGTGGTGCGCATTGGAGGCAAATCTCAGCCATGGTTTGGTCGCTCTTGTAAAATAGCATCATGCTATAAGCAGGAGTGCTACCGAGCCTGGGCTGACGCATCAGCGTCCCGAGATGTAAACACCAGCGCAATAAAAAAAGAAGTATAATTCCGCCTCTAGGTCCTTCAAAAGAGTCATTGCCAAGGCAAAGTCAGAGCACATAGGCAGTATTGGCGAGAAACTAGTTCGCCTTCCTTCTGGAACCCGTGCATTCTGGTCTCTCGCCAAGGCTGTCCAGGGGAATTTCTGTCAGCCATCTCTTCCATCTCTGCACAGGGAGGACGACTCACTGGCCTATACCGCAAAGGAGAAAGCCGATCTTCTAGGCTCTTTCTTTGCGTCCAACTCGACTCTCGATGACGGGGGGAGTACGCCGCCGACTATCCCGCGGTGTGAGTGCTCCATGCCGGAAGTGCAGTTCACACAGCGCTCGGTTCGCAAAGCACTCCTCTCCCTGGACATCCACAAGTCGAGTGGGCCTGACGGAATCCCCCTAATTGTGCTGAGGACGTGTGCTTCTGAGTTGGCACCGGTTTTAACGCGTCTTTTCCAGTACTACTACTCCCTAGGCGTAGTCCCAAAATCATGGAAGACGGCTTTCGTCCACCCGATCCCTAAAAAAGGCGACCGCTCAGACCCGTCCAACTACCGGCCTATCGCCATCACCTGCTTGTTCTTCAAAACAATGGAGTCTATTGTAAACTGCCAGATCATGAGGTACCTTGAGGATCACCAGCTGATAAGTGACCGCCAATACGGTTTTCGCCGTGGTCGGTCAGCTGGTGATCTTCTGGTCTACCTAACTCATAGATGGGCGGAGGCAGTAGAGTCCAAGGGGGGAGGCATTGGCCGTTAGTTTGGACATTGCGAAGGCCTTCGATCGGGTTTGGCACAAAGCGCTTCTTTCGAAGCTCCCTTCCCATGGGCTTCCCGAGAAATTGTGCGATTGGATCACCAGCTTTCTTGCAGATCGGTCGTTGATCGTCATCGTCATCATTCATCATTGTGATCGTCATCAAGGTCGTTGTAGACGGTGCTAGCTCCGATTGCAAGCCTATTAATGCTGGTGTTACACAGGGCTGCGTGCTATCGCCAACGCTGTTTCTTCTGCATATCAATGATATGTTGCAAACCCGTAACATTCATTGCTATGCAGATGACAGCACTGGTGATGCTCTTTACACCGGCCGAGCCAATATTTCTCGGGAAAACGTCTCCGAGTGCCGGGACAAACTTGTGTCTGAAGTCGAGTCTTTACTGAACAGAGTCTCGGATTGGGGGCGATTAAATCTAGTCCAGTTTAACCCCCAGAAGACACAAGTTTGCGCGTTAACCGCTAAAAAGAACCCCTTTGTCGTATCTCCTCAGTTTCAAGGCACTCCCCTTGTTGCCTCAGTATCGGAATCCTCGGCGTTGACATATCGAATGACGTGCAGTTTCGTGGTCACTTGGAAGAGAAGGCCAAATTGGCCTCTAAAAAGCTTGGCGTGCTCAGCAGAGCGGGACAGTATTTCATGCCGGCACACCGCCTGCGACTTTACAAGGCGCAGGTTCGGCCGCACATGGAATACTGTTCCCATCTCTGGGCTGGGGCTCCCCAGTACCAGCTCCTTCCACTTGACCGCATCCAGCGCAAAGCGGCTCGAATCGTCGACGACCGAGTGCATTCCGATCGGCTCGATTCACTGGCACTGCGAAGAGATGTTGCATTTCTTTGCATTTTATTTCGCATATACCATGGAGAGTGCTCTGAGGAATTGTTCGGATTAATCCCAGCCGCCAAATTTCGTGAACGCACTACGCGGCAAACGTCCCGATACCATCCACACCATCTGGATGCTTGGCGGTCCACCACAGTACATTACAAAAGGAGTTTTCTTCCGCGTACAACCTCTCTGTGGAATAGTTTACCACCGACGATTTTTCCGGACCGATACGACCTGGGGACCTTCAAGAAAAGAGCTTACTCCTTTCTAAAGGGCCAGCAACGCACCCGCAATTCCCCCTGGTGTTGCGGTTGATCATGGGCGGCGGTAGTCACTTAACATCAGATGAGCCGCATGCTCGTTTGCCCCCTCTTGTATAAAAAAAACTATCTTTATTTCAACAAAAGATTCGATCAAATGGTGACATTGCGCAGATGTAAATTAGCGAATTGATTAGATAGTAAAAGAAAAAAAAAATCAAATTCAGACTTTTATTGTTTACGAAACCTTGTCTGTGTTTAGCTACAAATATTGGCGAAAAAATTATGTAAATTGGCCTACGAGTAACGGACCCTCCGTTATAGATTTCAAAAAATCGTTTTCTTGCGGCATGGGAGCTCCGCTTGCTTCGTTCGCTCCGCTCCAACAAAGGTCTATGCACTTGAGTTGTCTTCTGTGTTGACGCCCTTGTTCAGGACTGAAATAGTGCTTAAATCTTGGAAGCTAGCCACTTTACAGCCTGTGCCTAAAAAGGACAGCCGTGCCGACCCGCCAGCTATCGGGTAATTTTGATTAACTTCATAGTCTGCAGAGTATGGGAAAGTGTATTAAATGCCCACACCATCGGCATACCTAGAATTGCGGAATAATCTCCTCAGTGACTGCTAGTATGCGTTTCGCCGAAATCGATCACCAGGGGACCTTCTAGCGTGTACCACTAACATATGGGTCAAAGCCCACGAGAACAGTAGGGAAGCACTTGTTGTTTTCCTTGATATATCGAAGGTCTTTGATAACGTCTCTATACTACTTCGCATACTGCTTACTCCCTGGCCTGATAGACTGGGTGAAGGACTTTCTGAGTGAACGATCTCCGAGGCGTCGTCGATGGCTGCTCGTCCAGTATTATCGCGACAAACGTTTGAGTTTCTCAGGGGTCCCTTTTTTTTGGTTCTCGCCACATCTCTCGTCCTGTTGCATATATCTGCTGTATAATGATCTGCTTATTCCGGAATCTATGGGTATGCAAATGGCGGCATACTTGTGGAGAGGTACCAGCGGAATGCAGGGGCCAGTTAGGGTTAAATCCAGTCCGAAAGAGAAGCGTGCGAATCTCGCACTGCAGGCAGTCTCCGAATGGGGCGATTCTAATTTCGTGACATTTAACGCTAAAACAAGCGTGTCTCTTCACCGCTAAAAGGAGCTTGCTCACCCTGGCTTCTACTTTTCGGAATGTATCTTTTTAGTACATTGACCGAGTTCAGTTGTTAGGTGTTAAGATTTCTCCGTACCTCAACTGGGTGGTTCATTGAGTCCAGGGCCAAATCAGCCGCTAGAGAACTAGGTGTCCTTAAAAGGATGCGGCGGTACTTTAAGGCAACTTCTTACCCTATATAAAGCGCAAATCCGGTCGTGCATGGAGTACCGCTTTCACATGGGGACTGGGACTGCAAAATGCCACCTAGCAGCGTTTAAATCAGTGGAGACGTACTAAGAGGCTCACGGGGTGCCTTAGGTTTGGTTGAAACCAATCTTGTTAGCCTCGAGCACTGGTGCAGAGTAGCTACTCTCTCGGTATTCTATACGATGAAATTTTAAGTGTCCGCATGAATTACATGTTTTAATTCCTCTCTCTCCTTTCAACCATTGGATAATCAGACGGTCGGCGAGTTTTCACACCTTTGTAGTCTATATTTCACGCATTAGAACCAAATGTTTTGCTTCTTTTTGTAATGCGTACAGCAAAGGAGTGGAATGTTTTCCCGGCATCTGTCTTTCCGTCTGAATAAAATCTGGCAGTGTTTAAGGCAGGAGTGTATAGGCTTTTGTTACGCTAAAACAATGCGATTTACCATCAGGAGCTTCATCAGCACTTACCAGGTGGGATTGTGGTCAAGAACTGGCTTATAATAAGTTTACAAAAGGGTAAATTTTCGTCATTTATGCGCATATTCAAGTGTCTTTCGCCTGTCATCAGAATGTTCATGCGCAAGTACTGTCACTTGGTGCTCACGACTGGCGCCGCTATGTACGCTGATGGTAAGTGGATGTTGTGGCCCATAGACACATATATGCGTTTATCCTCTATGACGATGGAATTCCTCGTTTCCAGTAAAAAGGGTCGCAGGTTCTCGTTCTAGCATTGAGTTGTTATTTTACGCTGGTATTCTGCAATCATATATCTACAGCGTGGCTCTACCTCTTACAACAATATCACTAACTGCGATATCATTGCCGCAGCCGCTGGAACCGATCCACATCCTAATGATCGGCGTGCGCGATAGCGGCGACAGCGACGACAGCGCGGTGTCGCGGCGCTTCGGCAGCTTCTGCCGCGCGCACCGCCACGAGCTGCACGCGAAGCGGATCCGCCGCATCACCTTCATGCTGCTCATCAAGTGCGTACCTCTGTACTTTATCTCCTGCAGCTTCTGCCGCGCGCACCGCCACGAGCTGCACGCCAAGCGCGTACGCCGCATCACCTTCATGCTGCTCATCAAGTGCGTACCTCTGTACTTTATCTCCTGCAGCTTCTGCCGCGCGCACCGCCACGAGCTGCACGCGAAGCGCATCCGCCGCATCACCTTCATGCTGCTCATCAAGTGCGTACCTCTGTACTTTATCTCCTGCAGCTTCTGCCGCGCGCACCGCCACGAGCTGCACGCGAAGCGCATCCGCCGCATCACCTTCATGCTGCTCATCAAGTGCGTACCTTTGTACTTTATCTCCTTCAGCTTCTGCCGCGCGCATCGCCACGAGCTGCACGCGAAGCGCATCCGCCGCATCACCTTCATGCTGCTCATCAAGTGCGTACCTCTGTACTTTATCTCCTGCAGCTTCTGCCGTGCGCACCGCCACGATTTTCACGCCAAGCGCATCCGCCGCATCACCTTCATGCTGCTCATCAAGTGCGTAACTCTGTACTTTATCTCCTGCAGCTTCTGCCGCGCGCACCGCCACTAGCTGCACGCCAAGCGCATCTGCCGCATCACCTTCATGCTGCTCATCAAGTGCGTACCTCTGTACTTTATCTCCTGCAGCTTCTGCCGCGCGCACCGCCACGAGCTGCACGCGAAGCGCATCCGCCGCATCACCTTCATGCTGCTCATCAAGTGCGTACCTCTGTACTTTATCTCCTGCAGCTTCTGCCGCGCGCACCGCCACGAGCTGCACGCGAAGCGCATCCGCCGCATCACCTTCATGCTGCTCATCAAGTGCGTACCTCTGTACTTTATCTCCTGCAGCTTCTGCCGCGCGCACCACGACGAGCTGCACGCCAAGCGCATCCGCCGCATCACCTTCATGCTGCTCATCAAGTGCGTACCTCTGTACTTTATCTCCTGCAGCTTATGCCGCGCGCACCGCCACGAGCTGCACGCCAAGCGCATCCGCCGCATCACCTTCATGCTGCTCATCAAGTGCGTACCTCTGTACTTTATCTCCTTCAGCTTCTACCGCGCGCATTGCCACGAGCTGCACGCCAAGCGCATCCGCCGCATCACCTTCATGCTGCTCATCAAGTGCGTACATCTGTACTTTATCTCCTGCAGCTTCTGCCGCGCGCACTGCCACGAGCTGCACGCGAAGCGCATCCGCCGCATCACCTTCATGCTGCTCATCAAGTGCGTGAGCACTGCATTTTTTAACGGTTTGCTTCGTCTCCCACTGGCGCATATTCCGTGGATATCGTAAGAGGCGAAACTGAAACAGGGGATAAGCAGCAGAATCTTCCTGATAAAAATTAAAATTAATATAAAAATGTTGTTGCCCACCCGGTCGCCAAGCCAAGCAACTTTAGCAAATATCCCTTTTTGCGACCATGATGAGAGAAACCCATGTTCAACAGTGGAATTTGATAGACAGTTACAGTAAAGGAGTGGAGTAATTTGCCCGCGTTTGTTATTTCATCCAATTGCAATCTAGATGTATTCATAGTAAAAGTAAATAAATTTTTGTTACGCTAATACAGTGCGATTTACCATCTAGGGCTTCATCACCCTTTTACCACCAGGTAGGACTGTAGTCGAGCACTGGCTTAACATAAGTATGAAACACTGGCTTATGATAAGTGCAAAAAAAATGATTTTCGTAATATTTTATATAATTTTAATAATCATAATAATTATAAATTTTTATGGTCCTTCGAGCCGGATATGAACAATCAATCCAAACTATAAAGACAAAAGTATTTTTTTCTTTATCAGGTCGTAACGAGTTCCGTCCATTTCCATTATATTCTATTCCATTATAAATATACCCCTAAATTTGCGTTCATAATATAATATAACGCTGCTCGTTGCCGGTGGTCTGGAGATATTTCTTTATACGTAATTAATTAATTTACCGCAATCAATCGTATATATGATAATCTTAAAATATCTTCGATCTATACGAGTCCTAAGGGTGATAAATTGATTTTGTGCCAATGTGTTTTATATTCTTGTAATAGTTTGCATAAGTAAATGATCAAACCTTCTATTACAAGAATTATGTAGTTAAACATTTGATTACTCATAATATTTTAGGCGTCAGTTCCCGAAGTTCTTCACGTATCGAGCCCGTAACGACTTCACGGAGGATACCATCTACCGGCACCTGGAGCCGGCGTCTGCCTTCCAGCTGGAGCTGTACCGCATGCGCAGCTACGACCTAGAAGCGTTGCCCACCAGTAATCAGAAGATGCACCTCTACCTGGGCAAGGCTAAGGTAACCACGACATTGGTCTCTAAACGACTAATAAAAAGAGGAATTTGTATCTCTTTTGTCAGTTCAGTCCGCCATAGATGTTAAGAGATGTAAAGTTATCTTTCAATTTTAAATTTTTAGTGCAAAGACTTAAGCAAAGCTTTAGAATTAAAACTCAGCAATTTTAAAATGCGTTATTTATACGTAAGTCAGCTCGACCAGGGAAGGATCACGCTCTCACACAATATCAGAGTAAAATAGCATCTTAATGCTACTGTGTTTCGTATGATGAGATGAGTGTTGAAAATAGGAGAACACGTAACTGTATTTTGATCTTTAATCGAAGATAAATGTAGATGTCTACGGGTCACAGCATCTACTTATCATCAGGTAGACAGTGTCATGTGTGCGTGTCCTTGGAGGAGGATAAGGGGATATTCTTTAAAAAATGTAATATAACATACATGTAACATTTTTAATGAATACCCCCTTATCTGATGTTTTTCCATGTGTTCAACTTGTATTTTCGATTAAACAAATAAGTGACTTTAAATATTTTCTATAATTTAATAATTTGATCTATTTACAGGTGAAAAAGGGACAAGAAGTGACGGACTATCGTTTCTTCATCCGTTCAATCATCCGGCACCAGGACCTTATTACGAAAGAGGCGAGTTTCGAGTATCTTCAGAACGAGGGAGAAAGGTAATTTCATTACCTCTTTGTCTTTTTTATACACACTTATCCGTGAACAATTGAATGAAATACTGCATAGAGAGAGTGGCAACGTAAGAGAAACCGCTACACCATATCATCAACCCATATCCTATGGTAAGACTCCCACGACTTGATAGAGCGAAAAGAAACAGGAGATGGGCAGCAGCATCTTCTTGATAACAACTTAAAACAATAAAAAAACTGCGGTTGCCTACCCGCTTGCCAACTTATCAACTATGGCAAATATCTCGCCTGCCATGCGTGGCAAGTGGCATAGATCTCTTTAAAAAAATATGCCAATTACCTAGCTTAAAAGATAATTAAACTTAAGGCATGCCTGAAATTGAGTGAATTCAATAATTTTGCTAGTATTATAGTGTTCCTCTAAGACTTATTGCTTGCTGTAAATTTCACAGTAGTTGTGAGGAAACCTGCATGTTCAGGAAATAAAGTCTTTTGAAGAGATGCAGTCTTCAAAATATTTTATTTAGCTTTACATGTCTGCACGTTTGATGTTATATTGGACGGACATCATGGATTGTCCCATAACCTTCTCAGAACTGGGAGAAGGCTTATTCCCAGCATTGGGACGTAGTAAGGCTGTACATTGAAACATAGAACTATAATATAACAGTTTGTATCTTTTTTCCTAAAGGGTGCTGTTAGAAGCGATGGACGAATTAGAGGTGGCTTTCTCACACCAATTGGCCAAGAGAACAGATTGCAATCACATATTCCTCAACTTTGGGCCCACTGTGATTATGGACGCCGCTAAAGTATGTATTATTAATATAATTAGAATAACACAATAATGCAAAACAGAAACCATGGAGTGGAAATCTTGATATATTCTTTTTTTTTAGATCGAGGAGTCGGTGTTAGGTATGGTAATGCGCTACGGACCCCGCTTGTGGAAGCTCAGGGTTTTGCAGGCAGAAATTCGTTTCACGCTAAGAATGGGTGAGTTATATAGCTTTTTGTTTAAACGACGTCTAATCTCAAATGTTGTGATAAACAGGTTTTCTCAAAAATATATTATGTACACAAGTCCAAATTGAGCATTACATATGAAAATAATGTAGAGTTCAATAATGTTTTTTCCTAAGTAAGATTCTTTTCCGGGATATTCGCCATTAAAGATGCATATTAAAGTGGTGTTTTTAATTGTTTTATAATAATATTAATCATCATCATGTACATCTCTGCATACAATGAGAACAATTTTTTTGAATGCCAAGGAAATATTATGTAATAAGTCAAAATTGTTCACTTTAAATATTTTGCTTGTCATATATATTAATTTATATCTGACTGCCTTAGATTAGTACCTTATAACCGGTAATTTTTTTCAATTTGTGTTTGTCTTGTTCTATTACATTGTAGCCATTAACAGATTTTAAAATTTGAAATGTGGTTAGATTCGTCTCCATCTGCAGTGTCATAAACTATATCATCAAATCACAATAAAAAATATGACACATTCTGAAGAACGTGTCGGTTTCTTAATTGTTGTATGTTTACTTGCTTATTTAACGGGTGAAAATATTCATATGTCCAAATAACAGAATAACAGTGTTGTGATTGTAGCATCACTGTTATAGTTTAACCAACTTCATCATTATATGACTTTTTTGCTGCAGGTGAATTTGTTTTAAACAAATGTACTCTTTGTATTTTTCCTAATTGTTATTTTTTATAAATAAACAATTTCTTATTATCTCCCATTGCTTGGCCTTCTTCGGGTGGGACATAGGAGGCTACTCAGGTACTTAAAATCGTTCTTAATTATAATTTTCTTGTAATATATTGATATCCAATATGCATTCTAAATCTAATATTTAATGTATTTTAATAATTCGGTAGCTAAAAATAAAGATCGTTTAGTGGCGATCTAAGTAAAGATATCCACTACTCCATATCGTCCCGTGGACGTCGGTAAGTGGCGACAGAGGAAAATAAACCGGAAAATGTGTAGTAGCATCTTCATGATTACAAAAAACTGCAGTAAATATCCTATATAATATGAAGATATATATATATATATATATATATATATATATATATATATATATATATATATATATATATGAATTATATTTTTATACGTGGAGTGGTAGAGCCATGCTGCAGTTACTTTAGAAGTATAGTTGTAGCACGAATGGGTCGGCTCGACCGGGGAAGGACCACGTTCTCACAGAATACCAGAGTAAAATAGTAGCTTCATGCTGCCGTGTTTCGTATGGTGAGTCTAGAGAACCGGAGACTCTTTTTACTAGAAACGAGGAATTCCATCTTAGTACTCACGGATGACAATGCATCTGCGTTTTAATTCGTAATCGAGGATAGATGTATATGTGTATGGGCCACAGCAACCACTTACCATCAGGTGAACTGTGTGCTCGCTTGTCACCTTATACTATGTAAAAAAATGAAGCAGTCTATTGGGGGAGGCCTATGTTGCAGTGGACTTTATGGTAAAAAACAATATTTGAATTTGTTGTTTTTGTTTTAGGCCCTGGTGCACCTACCAAGAATGTGAGACTGTGTCTGTCCAATGGCTCGGGATACTCTCTCGACGTATATACATATGAGGAGGTCTCAGACCCCAGAACAGGAGTGGTAAGCCTTTTCGCTACTTAGGATTGAAGGTGTGAAGAGAATTTTAATTTAAATTTGAATGAATAAATGAAGTTTTTCATATAATGTATTATATTTATTGTTACATATTAAATTTATTGTTACTAAAATTTATTTGTGTCGATATATACGATGTGTATATGTACTTATTATAGATCTTAATGTATTTTTGCAGATAATGTTCCAGTCATATGGGCCAAGGCAAGGACCTATGCATGGACTTCCTATCTCTACTCCTTATGTCACCAAAGACTATCTGCAGCAGAAGAGGTTCCTGGTTAGTTGCTTAAGGGATGATTTTTCAAACATTAGATAAAAGTTACCCAAAAAATAAATTTATTTTTGTAATTATAACCTCACTAAAAATATTTCTTCATTTACCTTATGAATATTGAATAATTTAATCTTTATCATCCATATTAAATAAATGATTATAGAGTAGGACCGGGGAGAAAATACTATATGTCTATTTTTATATTAAATTATATTTCAAATATCAGAAATTATATTGCTTGTCAAAGTCTGTAAAATTTAACAATTAAACATGGAAGAACTTTTTGGACATGTTTTTCTATGTTGTAATTGTGGAATTGTGTTTTAGGCTACGTCTCAAGGGACTACGTATGTGTACGACATCCCGGACATGTTCCGTCAGTGTGTCGAAAGGCGATGGCGTGAGTGCATCGAAGAGGGTAGTGTAGATGGTAAGAAAATTACTCCTGTAACCATTAAGCACATTCTAGGAAGCGATGCCCCTTCTGGTCATGTATTTAGTATGGTTAGGAATGGGGGTAAAGTTGAAACAGTAGCGTGCCTTTCGTTTCGCATTGAGTAATAAGTAATACAATAAATGTTAACATTACAGGTCCACCTCCAGACAATGTGATGACTTGCGTAGAGTTGGTGGTAGAGCCCGACGGGGAAAGACGGGTGGTTGAGGTGACCAGATTACCTGGACAGAATACCGTAAGCTCCTTTTTTATTTATTACACTTTGAAAGTTGTTATAAAATGTGTTTGGTTTATGGAAGCCTAAATTTCAGTTTGTAACATGCTGTTTTAATTTTTTTAATTCATATAATGTATTATAGAAGTGATAGCATAAGTAATAGAAAGGTTATAGTATAAAATAGTTAAGGGAGTGGTAGGACTGTTATAGACATCTTTGTCACAAGTTTTTAAATAGATGCTAGCGACACAACCAATTTACCATTGGGTAATTTCTGGATACCGACAACAGCGCCACCTATCGGATCCAATGAACCTAAGAACCATTCAGATGACCCCATAAGTATCCCATAAAAAATTCTTCAAAAGCGGTCATGCCGTAGGAGGAGAGGAATTTTGCACGCACACCGGAATTTTATATATAAAGATAATAATAAAAATATTTTTTTAAAAGTGTATGATGTGGTATATTTTATCCCTTTGTTTGAATGCAGTAGTTTTTTCGTTTTGATAAAGTCAGGTAATTGCATAATGAATTTCTATTAAGGCTTGGCCTCAGTAAATGTGTACGGTCTACCGTCAAAATGAGTAACTTTGTAAGCAAACTTTGTAATATATTTTAACCTTAGGAAGGCAACAAGGTTGACCCATCACCTCACTACTCGAAAAAAGTTTAAATATTTTGTTGGTGTTGTTTTAGTTTCTTTCTAATGCTCGATCTATTCTCCTATTGGAGTGAATGCAATCAGTTATATACGTCAATTTGTCACAGTAAGTTGTTATTTTTGTTATATTGACATTGGTGGGGTGACTCGTCACCCCTGTTGCTTCTTACGTAAGTTTAATTTTTTGTGATACTGATATATATGTTTAATTTTTGAGAACAGATTTCGGATGAACAGTATCGAAACTATTTGCAAGTTTGTAACTTTGTATGTGGAGTCGATACTTTTAACAAAATAGTGTATACGTATAGTCCGGCTAGCAATACTAGACGTAGGCCGCTTCGATAACTCTATGGTATACTGGATTAGGCTAGTGTCAATTCTATGTTGCTTTATATTGACACTAAACATTAGAACACTCCTGCCAACATATTTCGAAGCAGTTGTTTAAATAAATTAGGTTTACAATTGGCGCAACCGCAAATGAGGGATCGTTTGAGTACAAATTTGCCGCGAGAATAAGGAGTCACTTTATGTGATATTCGATATATATAATCCAGGACCTGAAGGTAATCCCGGTGCAAAGTTGCAGAAACAAGCAAGATGTGCACGGTGTCCAAGAAAACGGGACAAAAAATTAAAATTTTTTGGCAAAAAATACCTTTAGCCCGCTTGCTCTGAACGTCGCGAAGATATTTGCTTGATCTGGATTTAATGCAAAAAAAAAATAATACCAAATTATCGGTGCAGTAATAAACACTATTTTCATATTCCTAATTATAGTAGCGATTGATCTCATCATAAATAACTTTGGTTCTCTTTAAAAAAAATGGGGTGATACGTCACCCCTGTTGCCATTTGTGTATGCAAAAAAGTGTTGCCTGTCGGAGGTTAATAATATATAGAACTATAGAAAAAAATCTGAATTCACCTCTATTTTTCCAGATGCAACCATATTACTGCTACAATTTTTATTACGCCCCGTCCCCGTCCTACCCGTTAGTGCATTATGTTCACGTTTAAAGTTTATGTTAGTTATGTTTAGTTGCTTCTGCCTATTCATATATGGTGGATTTAGTTTTTGGCGTTGTTTGCGGTGTTGTGACTTAATAACCCAACTAATCTTTAAATTTTAATACTTTTTTCCAAATGAATTAAAGCATGCTGTCTAAAAATAAATTGAGCATCAATTTATTTTTAGACAGCATGCTTTAATTCACTTAATCTCTATGAACCTTACAACAACCACCATTTGGTTTTAACGCTACAACATTGATTTTTTTAGGAAAGGGCTCTAACAATAATACTCATTGAAAAATAATCAAAATACAATAAACGCAACATACATAGGTGTAATGTATTAGTTTACAAATTACAACTTTTATTACAATAAATATACCAAATAATTGTTGACCTCTCTGTAACTGTACAACTCTATGGAACTAGCGTGTCGTTATACGGCATGCGTATGCTGTACACCTAAGCAATAATAATTTTGAAGTAAGAAAGTGCGCGTGATCTTTAGGTGCGGGTGGTGCGGACTGCGGTAAATTTCTGCCACACACTTAAGGTCGTTGGCACGGGGACATCCCTTAAAATGTATATTTTCAAAAAGTTCGAATATATAAAAAAAAAAGAGTTTGCAGATCATTTAATAAAATTTTAATTGGTCATATGAATTTTTTAAATAATAAGGTTTTGACAGGACTTATGACCGGACTAAGTAGTTATTTTGGGTGTTAATTTTACACTACATTACTGTTTATAGAGGTGATACATTCAGCAGTGGACTTTTGAAAGGTTGTGATGGTTATTTTTTTATAGTTATTTTGGGTGTTAATTTTACACTACAGTACTGTTTATAGAGGTGATTCGTTCAACAGTGGATTTTTAGAAGGTTGCTATGGTAATTTTTATAGAATATTTACTTCTAAAACTTTCTATTTACACAGTCGCACGTTTAATTGTGGACTTTTGTTAGATGGTTATAATGGAGATTTTTTATAGTTATTGTGGTTGTTAATTTTCATAACACATTCATTCATTCATTCATTTATCTGTTACAGCTAATTAAATGTCCACTGTTGAATATATATCTATGGATTGTCCAATTGTGGGCATATTTGTCGGACTGGCAGGCGTGTTTGGTGTTTGGCAGGCGAGTTTACAATCGCAGATGTTAGTGTAGGTCTTCCCCATAGATTGCCTCAAAAAGGGGGGACGATAACTACCATAGCTGCCATGTTTTGTTGGCGGATTTACTATCACAAACTTTCTCTATCTATTTCTGTCGTCTCTTACGACATTCACAGGTGGATACGGGGTAGTTGATATTTTTACTCTGTCACTACACTTATGACGTGTTCCATTAATGATGGTGGTGGTGTGGTGGTGTGCAGGTGGGGATGGTGGCGTGGCGGCTAAGCTTGTACACGCCGGAGTGCCCGCGCGGGCGCGACGTGGTGCTGCTGGCTAACGACCTCACGCACTACATGGGCTCGTTCGGCCCGCACGAGGACTGGCTCTTCTACCGCGCCTCGCAGTACGCGCGCGACCGCTCCATACCCAGAGTGAGTACTGCTTGTGCTGCTGCCAACGACCTCACGCACTACATGGGCTCGTTCGGCCCGCACGAGGACTGGCTCTTCTACCGCGCCTCGCAGTACGCGCGCGACCGCTCCATACCCAGAGTGAGTACTGCTTGTGCTGCTGCCAACGACCTCACGCACTACATGGGCTCGTTCGGCCCGCACGAGGACTGGCTCTTCTACCGCGCCTCGCAGTACGCGCGCGACCGCTCCATACTCAGAGTGAGTACTGCTTGTGCTGCTGCCAACGACCTCACGCACTACATGGGCTCGTTCGGCCCGCACGAGGACTGGCTCTTCTACCGCGCCTCGCAGTACGTACGCGCGACCGCTCCATACCCAGAGTGAGTACTGCTTGTGCTGCTGCCAACGACCTCACGCACTACATGGGCTCGTTCGGCCCGCACGAGGACTGGCTCTTCTACCGCGCCTCGCAGTACGCGCGACCGACCGCTCCATACCCAGAGTGAGTACTGCTTGTGCTGCTGCCAACGACCTCACGCACTACATGGGCTCGTTCGGCCCGCACGAGGACTGGCTCTTCTACCGCGCCTCGCAGTACGCGCGCGACCGCTCCATACCCAGAGTGAGTACTGCTTGTGCTGCTGCCAACGACCTCACGCACTACATGGGCTCGTTCGGCCCGCACGAGGACTGGCTCTTCTACCGCGCCTCGCAGTACGCGCGCGACCGCTCCATACCCAGAGTGAGTACTGCTTGTGCTGCTGCCAACGACCTCACGCACTACATGGGCTCGTTCGGCCCGCACGAGGACTGGCTCTTCTACCGTGCCTCGCAGTACGCGCGCGACCGCTCCATACCCAGAGTGAGTACTGCTTGTGCTGCTGCCAACGACCTCACGCACTACATGGGCTCGTTCGGCCCGCACGAGGACTGGCTCTTCTACCGCGCCTCGCAGTACGCGCGCGACCGCTCCATACCCAGAGTGAGTACTGCTTGTGCTGCTGCCAACGACCTCGCGCACTACATGGGCTCGTTCGGCCCGCACGAGGACTGGTTCTTCTACCGCGCCTCGCAGTACGCGCGCGACCGCTCCATACTCAGAGTGAGTACTGCTTGTGCTGCTGCCAACGACCTCACGCACTACATGGGCTCGTTCGGCCCGCACGAGGACTGGCTCTTCTACCGCGCCTCGCAGTACGCGCGCGACCGCTCCATACCCAGAGTGAGTACTGCTTGTGCTGCTGCCAACGACCTCACGCACTACATGGGCTCGTTCGGCCCGCACGAGGACTGGCTCTTCTACCGCGCCTCGCAGTACGCGCGCGACCGCTCCATACTCCAGAGTGAGTACTGCTTGTGCTGCTGCCAACGACCTCACGCACTACATGGGCTCGTTCGGCCCGCACGAGGACTAGCTCTTCTACCGCGCCTCGCAGTACGCGCGCGACCGCTCCATACCCAGAGTGAGTACTGCTTGTGCTGCTGCCAACGACCTCACGCACTACATGGGCTCGTTCGGCCCGCACGAGGACTGGCTCTTCTACCGCGCCTCGCAGTACGCGCGCGACCGCTCCATACCCAGAGTGAGTACTGCTTGTGCTGCTGCCAACGACCTCACGCACTACATGGGCTCGTTCGGCCCGCACGAGGACTGGCTCTTCTACCGCGCCTCGCAGTACGCGCGCGACCGCTCCATACCCAGAGTGAGTACTGCTTGTGCTGCTGCCAACGACCTCACGCACTACATGGGCTCGTTCGGCCCGCACGAGGACTGGCTCTTCTACCGTGCCTCGCAGTACGCGCGCGACCGCTCCATACCCAGAGTGAGTACTGCTTGTGCTGCTGCCAACGACCTCACGCACTACATGGGCTCGTTCGGCCCGCACGAGGACTGGCTCTTCTACCGCGCCTCGCAGTACGCGCGCGACCGCTCCATACTCAGAGTGAGTACTGCTTGTGCTGCTGCCAACGACCTCACGCACTACATGGGCTCGTTCGGCCCGCACGAGGACTGGCTCTTCTACCGCGCCTCGCAGTACGCGCGCGACCGCTCCATACCTAGAGTGAGTACTGCTTGTGCTGTTGCCAACGACCTCACGCACTACATGGGCTCATTCAGCCAGATGCGTTGTCACACCTGAGGACCAAGATGGAATGCCACATTTCCAGTAAACAGAATATCCGGCAGCATTAAACTGCTATTTTAGGCTGATATTCTTTGAAAGCGTGATTTTTCACCTGACGAGCCGACCCATTTGTGCTACAACCACAATATAGCTCCAGCATGGCTCTATCACTTAATATAACCTCTTCCAGATCGAATTTTGGCCACAGCGGCCAGTTTCAACGAAGACTAGCCACCTGCGCAGGACAGGATTAAATTACAGAGAGAGAGTGCGAACGTAAGTACACGTGCACTCTATTCCCTCACTGTTATTACCTAATGGGACAGCAATTCCACACAACCGGAGACATACTGGCGCAAGATCAACGGCTGTACGTGATTTCCAAGGCTCTGGACATTATATGATAAAAGACAAGTGTAGTTTATAAGATATAACCGGGATTAAGTAAGTAATGCTTCGGTGTATAAACATCTTAGAAAATAATTGAGGAGGAGCAACTGATACCAGCCGTAGACGGAAGTTTGTCGGCTAAATTGGTTGTATATTGAAGATGGGCCAATATACTCTTAACCGACAAGAATTTATGCGTAGATATAAGAATGTGCACGAAGCCAAAAGTGTGTCAGGTTCGTGAGAAATGAAAGTCTGTGATCTTTACCTATCCCTCTGGGTGACAGTTGGGAATGATGATCATCATCATTCCCAACTGTGATGACTTTTACTAAAATGTTAGTGTACTTTATAAGAAAACTTTTCCCAACCGTCACTTTAAACGATCCTCTGAAATATTTATCCTGATAGCCAGACGTGTATTAACCGCAAGTTTACTTGCAGATATACGTGAGCGTGAACTCGGGCGCGCGTATCGGCGTGGCGGAAGAAGTCAAGTCCGAGTTCAACGTCGCCTGGATCGACGCCGAGAGACCAGAACGCGGCTTCAAGTAAGTATACATTAGTATAAGTTACACCAGTCATTTGCATTTATATGTTACTTATGTAAATAGTAATAATAATTGTCCTACAGACCGAATTTCGGCCATTTGCCCAGGACAAGATTATAGTGCCCAAGTGTATGCGCAAGTACAGGTGAACTCTATTCCTTTACTCTCAAAGTCCAATAGGACAGTAAACTGACACGATCAGAGAGGAGATATCAGGCGCAGGACCAACGGCTTTACTGGCTTTCTGAGGCACTGGTATGAAATACTGCCAACTTTTAGACTCCGGGCTACTGTTGAGGATTTCTTGACAGAAAACAGATTTTGGCCCGACTCCGGACTCGAACCCAGGACCTCCTAATCAGCAACCGCGTATACAACCACTGGACCAATGAGGAAGGCAATGTAAATAGTACAATGCAGATAAATATATACGAATTTTGCCTATTTATGGTGTCTAATTTCATGGTAAACTGGTGGAGGAAAACTAACAATACCCTAGAGGTTTTAATTAATTAAACAGCTGAGCTTGTTAGGAAGGTTATATGAATGTGTTAGAAGTTTATGACAACAAATCACGTTAAAGTCATATGGCTTACTAATAAAAAGCGATGTCATTTTAAGAAATGCTTTAAATTTCTCTCTCTCTCTCTGTATTTAATGACAATATATCATTTATCGCGGTAGAGTTACGCTGCATGTAGCTGATATATGGTTGTCAACAAATAGGTCGGGTCGACTTGGGTAGGACCACGCTCTCACATGAGCTCGGTCCGCTCTCACATGAATACTATTTTAATGCTGCTGTGTAGAGAACCGGAGAACCTTTTTACTGTTTTACTGGAAACGAGGCTTTCCATCTTCGTCCTTGGGGGGGGGGGGGGTCCATATGCATTTTTAATCTTAATGTAGTATAAACGTAGATGTCTTTGTATCTCAGGTTATTCTATAAAAGAAATATATAAATGAAGATGTATCCTACTACATACAATCGCAAATCTAGGTTATGCAATTGTCTAACCGCTTGTCAAGCATGGCAGATGCGGCTGTGGGAGGCCCGGGATAATGAAGTGTAAATGTATTTTAAACTATGCCGATCCTAGGAGATGTGATACATTTTCAAACGCCGAGTATTATAAAATAAACATTTGTTTTTTAAGATACCTCTACTTGACACCGGAGGCGTATTCGCGCCTCGGCCCGCTCGGCTCTGTCAAAACGGAACTCATCGATGACGAGGGCGAATCGCGCTACAAGATCACTGACATCATTGGTAGGTTCACATCCTCTTTCTGATTCGTTGTCGAAAAAGACAAGTGATTTTTTTCCCTTATTTTTCAATAGCTTTATCTATATATCTATCTATACACTAGGTAATTTTTCTGTATCATAGAGACTTTCCATATATAAATTTCTCAAGGATACACACACAAAAGTTTTGCATTAGGAAATCGGTATTTAATGAAATGTAAGTTATTAATAAAAGGCAACCTCATATCATGTCTTGCGAGACACTATTTATTATTTCGAAATAGGATGTCTATTTGCAGGGGGCCCCCAATAGATTTGTCTCTCATTGATGTAGAGACGTCACAGTAAGACATGTACATGACATGTCACTTAAGGGACGCCTTTGTTCATCAGTGTATTTGTGAAGGGCTGTAATGATAATATGGTGATGATGTTTACTTGATTGATAATTTCTTTTTTGTTATTGCAATTCAAGTTGTCCAAAACGACTATAAATCAATAGCACGCTACAGACTAAAACTAAAAACAGACTAAAAACTATAAGTTTCTAGCGCGCTATTAAATACGCTATGTTATAGCGCGCTATTTATAGGAAGCGTGTAGGAAGCCGGCAAGCGCGTTAAGTTTTGCAGCACGCTATATCTCGTAGTACGTTACATTACATGTCGTGGATAGACTGGCCGCGTGATATATAAGAACATTATTTCGTAATAAGTTGCAATTTAGACTAAAATAAAATAAAGCGGTGAAGAAAAACCAATGAACGCTTTTTCATACTTTTCAGGCTTACGACTTTTTATAATCCTATATATTATTTAAAAGGAAATAAAATTAATAATCTTTTATTATAACTGATGTAAACGTTATTTAAATCTTAATTTAAATCAAATAAAGGTGTATTTAAAAGTTTTTTGATTGTATTTATAAAAATCAATTATGTACATGCACTATTATATACACTTGTAACTATATTTATTTACATTTAAAACATTAGTTGGGCTTCTTTTATAGCAGACAACTGTATAAATATACAGTATACACTAAGTAAATAACGTCTAACACTAAATTAGGTCGCGCGCAATGAATAGCATGCTACTAGATCAAATTTGCGTCACACGTGCTCTCCCAACAGCGCTGCTGCTAAAACTAGTTACCGCTAGATATTAATACTTAATAGCGCCAGAGCGCCATAGTGCAATAGCGCCATGGCGACTCATTACATAGCACTCGCTATGTATTATGGAGAGATAACTCTATGATAATATGGCGCTATGCGCTATATTAACCACCATTAATTGCAATATGTTGTTTCTCAAAAATTCATGTTATGTCTTATTATTATTATAGTTGATAATTGATATGTATTAACTTATAATATTAAAAAACTACACATACCTCAGTTCGGCCACAGTAAGTTTTCCAGTATATGTTATTAGATTATTAGAACTTAACACTATCACAGTTTTATTATAAGCTTTTAAAATTTAAGCGAGAATGGTTGCTAATCAACTTCAATCCGTTATAGATCCTAAATGGTCATTGAAAAAAAAAAACATGATTAGAAGAAACCTAACGATAATTTTCAAAGACTCATTCAATTATACCTCATATGACATAGTTCCTCAACTTTCATTTTGATTATTTTTCATAATATGGTGTCTGGTTGTTGCAACATTGAATTTTCATCACTGTCATGTCATGGTTCTAGTGACACTCACAAGATTAAGACAAATCGATTGACGTAACAGTCATCAAAATGTCTACGTGTTTGGCCTTCCTTTGTGTTGCGCAGTCGGGTAAAAAAGAAGTGTAGTGAGCAAGATGTTTGTTGTGTCCAGGCAAAGAGGACGGTCTGGGCGTGGAGTGCTTGCGCGACGCCGGGCTGATAGCCGGCGAGACTGCGCAGGCCTACGAGGACATCGTCACCATCTCCATCGTCACCTGCAGAGCCATCGGCATCGGATCCTACGTTGTCAGGTGAGCGTCGATTGCATTGTCTTTGCTACGGAACTAATTGGATGATAAATAATTAAAATATTTAATTTGTAAAGCTTAGTACTGGTTAAGTAACAAAGGCTTTTAAGTTCACCAAACAACTTAGTTCTCTTGTTTTGTATCAAAGAAATCAACGCCGTTATCCTTTTCTTACTGGTTCAATTTACGTGTAAAATGAGAAAGGATTTTTTCTGTGATTGTTTCTACATGCCTGGGTATGTAAACAAATGACAGCTCCGTGGCGCAGTGGCTTAGCAATAAGTTACAGTCTAAGGGCCGCGGGTTCGAATCCCACACTGAACAAGTATTTGTATGGCCTACAAGTAATTGTTCCGGGTCTGGATGTTTGTCCTTGTGAAATGTATGTTTGTAAACTGCCCTCACGATACAGGAGAAAATCCTAGTGTGGAGGTGACGTTTTAAAAAAAAAACAAATGTTCCGCCTGAATATAAAAATAGATCTTGTTTCTTGTCAGAAGATATAAGACGGGGTTGGAAGGGGATGGATACAAATCTAGATGGACATCTAGTGTTGTGGTTTCTTGTGTAAGATAAAGAAATCAATTATAAATATAAATCTTGTATATTTTTCTAAGTAAACAGATTGTGCATAAAATGTGAAAAACTGTATAAAATAAAATAGGAGTTGTTAAGAGCCCTCTTACATTTCATTTTAACGTTACGAAAATTTAGGTATTATACGCACCGAGCAGGCGACGAACTACTCGAGCGATACTTTAATTTATATCATCATTTTGATATATTTTTCATTATTTATGAACCTTAGTGTTAAAATAAGTACAGAATAAATATTTTAATTGTTACGCAGTAATCGATTGTTATCCGATGTTGATTAATAATCGATTATATCTATTAACGATAGCATAATAGTATAAATAAAAATAAATAGTTCGGTTGCAACCTGTTATAATAAATAAAACAATCAAATGTAACCAATTTTCTTTTAATCGGTACTTACAGTCAATTACTATAATTTTTTGTTATAAAAATTATTTGCCGCGACGGCATTGACCAAGCATATCTCGAGTCGATAATTTCGGCAGTACACGCTTTTCATAAAACGCTCGTAACTTGGGTAACATATTCAAAATCCAAAATTGGTCGTCTTTGTAGATTTTTAGTACTTTTACTGCTTGATCTAGGCCAGTCGATATGGCAAGCATGCAGACATTTTTATTCTCCATTATTATTCAGAGATAGGATATTTATTTTTTACGTTTAGTGACGCATTGATACTTGTATTTATTTTACCCCATTACGACTGGTAAGAAAGCTCAGCTACAATCAAAATAATTATAACGAGTTAACTATCTGGTATAATAATACTGTGCGAACTTTATACTAATTGAAATATACTGTACGAAAGTAAATACTTCCAACGATCAAAAACTGCGGTCATAGTTGACACAAAATAGCAGCGCCTATACGGAAATCGACGGATATCGGTACACTACAATAGTATCGATACGACGCAGCGCGCGAAATCATCTGACGTAGGTCCAACCTCGACAAGCGTTCATAAGATAATGATCACAGGTGGCTGGCGCAGTGAAATATATGGTACTTTTATTTAATTAATAAAAAATAATAGTAACGATTTAAAAAGTAAAAATAATAGTCTAGTTAAGAGCCCAGTCTTTCAGAGCAAAACAGAAAAATTGCGTTCTGGTGACACATCTACACCCTCCCTGCCCCGCCACTTCATGTACCGCCACCGCAGTTATCTTTCTGGCCGTAGCGTGGAAAGTTGCTCTACTAAGATTTTCCAGTATCAATTTATCTAATATACAGGATTATTGATAATTAGCTAACAAATTTTCACATACAGATTTTCTACCTCGTATCTATTTTTGTTCCATGCTTTTATTACAAAATTCGTTACACAAAAAAAAAATATTTTAAGTTTGTATAATTTTTGTTGTTTTGTTGAAAAGGTTTCTAAAAGATAATCATCTAGAACCTGTATAACATGTACTCGTATTATTGATTATTCAAATGAATCTGGCAAGTGCTAGAATGAGTCGTGCACTGAGGGTTTCGTAATAAGTCGATGACACTATCGAAAATCCGTCAAGTACGTCAAGTAGTTCTAAATACTAAAATAGATTAAAAAAAAACTCAAAATAATTTCTATATAAGTACAAACAGTCCACTATCACACATATTTATAGTTTCTCATTAAAGTATAATGTAACTTTGTATAGCATTTACCTATATGCATTACAAATATGCAACTCATTTATAAACTATTCTTAAAAGTACCTACCTAATTATATACCTAATATTTAACCAAGTGCTCACACATATGCACGTTGTTAACTATTTTACTATGAAACACAAAAAAACTTACCTTTGAATTCTATTTCTGTTCATTGCTTCAACGTTTGATTTCAATTTTCGTTTTCTGGTACAAGCATATTTTTTTACGTTTATGGTCCATATCGAAATTAAAAGTTATAAAACAAATACAAAATGATTTATAAACCCTTAAAGAATTATATGCAAAAAATAATAAAGTAGAGCAACTTTCAATTCGTAACAATGCGCAACCAAGATTAGGGAAAGAGAGAGAAAGAGGAATGTTAGAGCGAGAGGAAGTGCAAAAATTTGGCACAGACAAGACGTCTGAACGCTACAGCCGCTCAGCGGCTACTAAGGAATATTGCCCGCAATTATTGTTTATAAAGTCAATATTTTATAGGTCGATCGAAATAATTATTAATTTTGAAATAAAGTGGTTTAAATTATTATTTTTTAATATTTGTCTAATTAAACACCTGCCCTTGAGAAAAAAATAATTATAGCATAAATATTTTCAGCTATTGTTATGAAACAAATAGTTTTTTATGAGGCGAAAACAGCGAAATTTAACGAAATTGAGACCTCTTATTTAAGACAATGAAAGATATTTAGAAAAAAAGAAACAGCGCATTTTGGAGATGAAGATGTTTAGCTATTAACGCGCTGAATAGATTTCGCCTTTTTATTATCGATTGCCTTATAATGGTACACGAACAAAGCTCGAAATTGCGTTGGATGCGAGAGAGCTCTATTTACCGTTTGATTTATCTAACATAGACCACATAGATGAACCAAAAAAAAATTTAGCCATTACTTATAATCTGGGTATTTATGTGTTATCAAAATATTTTACTCTGAAACAATAATTTGCTGTAAAAAAAGAAATCAAAGTGGCGCTAATGATTCGATGTGAGTCAACTTTAAAAGACTGTAGCCTTAAAGTAAATATTGATGAATTTTTTGGTATAAATTTTACGTCATAATGATGTAGAACTTCGGAAATATTGGGGCTTGTATCGAAGCTTTTTCGGTAGTTAATTGAATTATGTCGATTTTTTTTTACTTACGTGAAAGGCATATGAAGAAAATGTATTCTATCATTATTAAAGTATAGGATATTTGTGAGATATAAATATTTTTTGATGTCGATATTTAATAAAAGAATCCACAAATTAGAGCTCCCAAATCATGATGACACACATTTTAGCCACACATCAAAAATTTGAGAGAGCTTGGTTGGGAAGTGTTAATGCATCTACCATATATGTATATATATATATATATATATATATATATATATATATATATATCCTGACCTTGCACCCTCAGAATACTTTGGGTAGTGTTAGGTTAACATTAAGAGAGGACTGTCGAAACTACTTGTCGCGTTTTTTTGATCAAAAATCCCAAGATTTCTACAGCCCCACCCACAAAATGGCAACAAGTTATCGAACAAATGGTACATACACATAGTTATTAAACTTTGAAAAAAAAAATATGATTTGAATTTGTATATAAAATACAAAAAAAATTCCCCGACCTTATATTATGTTCATGATGTTCTTGTTTTCATGTTATTCTGTTTTATGTACCTTAATAAATAAATAAATATATTGTTAGGAATGATGGTAAAAATAAAAGAAAACACGAAGAAGTGACGGTAATCTCGTACTGGAACTCGTTCTAGCAGTATAAAGTCCCGCGCAGGCGTCTTAGATTTATCTGTAATTCTTCGAGTCTTTGGTAATTGTAAAGGAAATTATATTGGGGACACGCTGTCCTGTATCACGTCGTGTTAGGGCTGATTTACACTTGGACAAGTACAGTGGCGAGTTTAGTTACAGAACAGTTGACAGTAATCACATCATGTTTGGGCTGATTTACACTTGGATAAATACAGTAGGGAGTTAAGTTACAGGTCAGTTGACAGTAAACGGTTAAGTAGGCAGTAGCGTTCAAATGTCTTCGGTGGCGAGTTTAGTTAAAAAAAGTATAATTTTATATTTTGAGGGTTGAACGTTGGATCTTAACAATTTATGCACTGTACTAAACTCGTACGTTCACACGAACGGCGAGTTTGGTTGCGGGTGGCGGGAGACGCGCGGAAGGGCAACACTTTGAATTTGACTCGCGGAAAAATAGATCGGATGGCTATTCCGTTCAACTTAATTGTTAATTTGCTACTTAACTCACTGATTGCCATTCAAATGAATTTTTTTACTTAATTCCCCAGGTTCGCAAGTTAACTCGCTACTGTACTTGACGAAATGTAAATCGGCCTGTAGGCAGGCGGTATTACAGTGTAGGTTGCACACTTCATCTATTTTAATGTTATCTTGTATTTATTTCTAACTGCTTAGTGTGTTACGTAATTATATTCTGTTTGTGTTACAATACAAAATTAAAACAGAGATATATTATTTAAATAATTTCCGAAGTGATTTGTAACATCAGAAATAAGATAATTGCTTAAAATATAATTTATTTTGTTCCTTTGCACAAACATTTGGAATTTAAAGGATCTCTATCAACTACTAAATACATGCCATTGTTATAGTTCTTGTCTCCCCCCCCCCAGGCTAGGGCACCGCGTGGTCCAGGTGGAATCGTCGTACATAATCCTGACGGGGTACGCGGCGCTGAACAAGGTGTTGGGTCGCGCAGTGTACGCCAGCAACAACCAGCTGGGCGGCGTGCAGATCATGCATAACAACGGCGTGTCGCACGCAGTGGCGCCCACAGACCTGGAAGCAGTCAGGACCGCGTTGCGCTGGCTCTCCTACGTGCCCAAGGTCAGAGCTCCCTTGTACTCCTCTCGCACGGCAAAAGCTGTGTCCTTCTTTTATAAAAGCGTGACAGCCAAACATACAATCCACTTTATGGTAAATGTTTGCCACACACCTGTAACCAAATTCAAACAAAAATAAAGTGCTCACAACACAGAACTTACTGGCTCTTTGTACTCTTAAAAGTGGAATATTGCAATACACTGTTCTGCTTGACGGTAGCAATGGGTAGGAGTGTGATCTACTTGGACTGTTTCATAAACAGAAAGAAGTCCTACCTAATAATACCAAGTCACATTAGTATTAACCATTTATTGTATAACTAGAAAAAGTATAAATAAAAGTTGAGTATTAAGTAAGTATCAAGGGACCCGTCTCATGCGCTCATGAGGTCCATTCGCCCATAGACGGCCACTTACGGAAAAGTAAACGGCGAGAAGTTTAAAAATAGAAATGTCAATCTGACATTTAGTTAAGTTACTACTTAGATGAGTGCGGAGGCACAGCTATCCTCTTATTATATATTATTATATTATGAAAAAATCGTGTATAAATGATCACAAGATCATGTTATATTTCCAATGTTAGCGTATATTTTACTTGTGCATTTAATTACGCAGGACAAATTTAGCATGGTGCCCATCATGCGTTGCGTGGATCCAATCGATCGCCCAGTAGAATGGGTGCCACCAAAAGCGGCCCACGATCCTCGGCTGATGCTGACTGGCGATAGCCAGCGTCCAGGATTCTTCGATGCTGGATCCTTCGATGAGATCATGAAGCCCTGGGCGCAAACTGTAATCACAGGTAAGACATCAGCTGTAGTCTATTTATTATATTGTTTACATCATTTTCTATCATTCACGTCCCAGTAAACAAACAAAAGTGGGTTATGTTTTATATGTAGGTTTGATTTCATATTTTATTAGAGAATTCATCGTCTCATTCAGTGCCGGGGCGTCCTTAAAAGCGATTATGTGAAAAACCATAAATATCGTTATTGTACGTTATTTATTATGTGGCAGGGATATATTATGGTTGCTGCAAGAAGGGGTCGGCTCGATCGGGGAAAGACCACGCTCTCAATATAACCAGCGGAAATAAACAACTTGATGCTGCTGTGTGTATTGCATCTTAATCCTCAGAGTGCATGCATACATTTTGATTTTTAATCGAGTATAGATGTAAATAGATGTCTTTGGGTCACAGCATCCATTTACATCAAGTGGACTGTGTGATCGTTTGTTACCCTTATTCTATAAAATAAAAAATATCGAATCTCCAATAGATGGCTGTATAAATTTGTACATATAGTCTTTTCAAGACTACAATAAAAGACACATATAAACCGTAACTATGCACACTACATTTAGATAACAAATGATTTCATCCATACATTCATTTATTTACATTATCATACATTACAGTCTATAAAAGTCCTTTGCTGAATATAGAGACCAACAGATAATTTAAAAAATAAAATTCCTAGACCAGCAACGGTGATAATTTGCATATTACACGGAATAAATAATAGTACTACGTACAGAAGTTTCACTCTTTTGATGTTGACTGCTTGTCGACATGATTATTATTATAAGATAAATTGCGCACGCAAGCTAAATAAAGCGCGCGAGTGTCCGTATTACTTTGCATCTTTTCCCATTCCCACATCACGGCTGTTTTTCCGTGGTTACTTAGGGCTGTCAAGAATATATTAAAACACATGTAAGTAGGTACTTATTAAGCTTATCATCATCATAATCATCATCATTACAGCCCTTCACAAGTCCACTGCTGAATATAGGCCTCCCCCAAGTAATTCCACAAAGTACGGTCTTGAGCCACCTGCATCCATCGACTTCCTGCATGTCTTACCAGGTCATCACTCCATCTAGTGGGGGTCGCCCTACACTACGCCTACCGGTACGAGGCTGCTACTTGAGAACCTTTTTCCCCGTCGGTTATCGGTTCTTCGAGCTATATGGCCGGCCCATTGTCACTTCAGCTTACTAATCCGTAATAATTAAGCTTATAATATGTATTAATATATGCTCATTTATCTACTATTTATGCACTCTCCTATTTACGGAGCTCCTTCACCAAGGCGAATATATAATAATAGAATAAATAATGTGTAGTGCTACTCGTACGTTACCAAGGTTTGCCTGGAAGAGATCACTGTTAAGCGATAAGGCCACCTACTTGTACATAAATTTATATGTTGTGTGCAATAAAGAGTATAAATAAATAAATAAATTAAACGTTGCGAAATGGTAAGTAAAATAGGTAAGGTACATATTCTGACCGATCGAATGAACATTTTTTTGCTACTATGCGAATTCTGTGCCTAACGCATGCAACGTGCAAGGTCACTCGTCGCGAATCGCGATTTAATATATCGCTCGGAAGAAATGGGTAGGTAGTGTAAACAACAAATGAACCTGAAATACGATTCCTAAATGAAATGTGATTGTATTCTAATTAGTTAAAAATCTTGTAAACAAAGTTTTAATTTCAGTGCTTTGTGACAACTTAAAATATTTTAATTACAAAAGACATGTAAGTTACCTACGTAAATTTCAACTAAGTTTTGTAATAATACTTAGGTATTACTTCTGTATTTAAATTATTACGTAATTCTTTTTACAAAAAAAATTAAATAAACGTACATATCATTATCCTTAGGTAACTTAAAAATGATATATCTGAATCCTTTTGTTTGCTCATTTTGCATCCATCCACGCAACAATTATAGTAGGTTCGAAGTTTTGCCATTATAATTTATCAAATAGATAGGTTATACACATATATTATTTTTAAATCACATTCATCATTCATCATCATCATTACAGCCCTTCACAAGTCCACTGCTGAACATAGGCCTCCCCCAAGTAATGCCACAAAGCACGGTCCTGAGCCACCTGCATCCATCGACTTCCTGCATGTCTTATCAGGTCGTCACTCCATCTAGTGGGGGGTCGCCCTACACTACGCCTACCGGTACGAGGCTGCCACTCGAGAACCTTTCTTCCCCATCGGTTATCGGTTCTTCGAGCTATATGGCCGGCCCATTGCCACTTCAGGTTACTAATCCGTTGGGCTATGTCGGTCACTCTGGTTTTACTGCGGATATCCTCATTTCTGAGTCTATCACGCAGAGAAACTCCGAGCATAGCCCTCTCCATAGCTCGCTGAGCGACCTTAAGCGTCCTCATACGGCCAGCAGTGAAGGACCACGTCTCAGATCCGTAAGTCATCACTGGCAACACGCACTGGTTGTACAATCTAGTTTTTAGAGATTGAGGTATACCTGACGAAAAGATATGCCGTAATTTCCCGAACGCTGCCCAGCCGAGTTGAATCCGTCGATTGACCTCTCGGTCGAAGTTGGACTTACCTAGTCGGACTATTTGTCCCAGGTAAACGTATTCGTCAACAACTTCGAGCATAGTGCTCCCAACAACTACCGGCATAGGTGTGACATGGACATTGAACATGATCTTTGTTTTGTCCATGTTCATCTTAAGACCTATCCGTTGGGAGGCACTATTGAGGTCATTGAGCATAGTGCTTAAGTCCTCCAGCGATTCTGCCATAAGGACTATATCGTCGGCAAATCGAAGGTGAGTGATGTACTCGCCATTGATGTCAATACCGTATCCTTTCCAGTCCAGTAGCTTGAAAACGTCTTCCAATGCAGCGGTGAAGAGTTTCGGGGATATAACGTCACCCTGTCTTACACCTCTCTGCAGTTGGATAGGTTTCGAGCTCTGGTTCTGTACTCGGATAGCCATCGTAGCCCTACTGTACAAACACTTCAGCACTTCGATATACCGACAGTCAACTTGGCACCGCTGAAGGGACTGTAGCACCGCCCAAATTTCGACGGAATCAAAGGCTTTCTCATAGTCCACATACGCCAGGCAAAGTGGCAGATTGTACTCTTCAGTCTTCTGTACAATCTGCCGCAGGGTATGTATGTGGTCTATGGTACTGAAGCCTTTTCGGAAACCGGCTTGTTCGGGAGGCTGGAAGTCGTCAAGTCTGCGTGCGAGACGATTCGTAATGACTCTCGAAAACAGCACGTAGACGCGGCTCAGAAGGGAAATCGGTCTGTAGTTCTTTAAGAGAGCGTTGTCGCCTTTCTTAAAGAACAAGACCACCGCACTTCTGCTCCACGCCTCTGGAGTAGTGCCACCATGGAGGACGGAATTGAAGAGCTTCTGAAGGACTTCAAGTACCGGTGTTCCACCCGCTTTCAGAAGCTCCGCTGTAATTCCATCCTCGCCTGGGGCCCTGCCGTTTTTAAGGTGCTGGAGAGCCATTCTAATCTCGCTTAGACTGACGTCCGGGATATCATCGGAATAGTGTCGGATAAGACTTGCTCTTGGATCGTTACTCACACTTGCGTGTGGCTCCAACGATGATGTGTACAGCTGCCCATAGAACCTCTCAATCTCACTCAAAATCTCAGGTGTCCCGGAAACGATGTTGCCACACTCAGTCTTCAGCCTTGACAGTTGGCTCTTTCTGGAAGACAGATCTCTGGCAAAGACTTTGGAGCCCTGGTTCCGCTCGATCGCTTCTATAATACGAGAAGTATTAAAGTTGCGTAAGTCTCGCCGTATGCATTTGGAGATCTGTCTGTTCAGTTGCCTGTATGCTGTCAAATCTGTTGACGATTAAATCACATTAAAAAAAATTGAACTATTTTATCCTACTATTAAATACTAAACACTAAACAAAAATTACAACATGTGTTTCCAAAAAACTATTTACGTAAACAGCGTTAAAAATACATCAATCGCCTAGAACGCGCTAGCCCCGACTGCGTATTACACCCTGGGTTAATCGCGATTTTAGGTAATTATTTCATGCCAGTAGCAAAAGTAACAGAGGCCTGCCTATTATGTATAACAATTATGGCAAGTCCGAAAAGACCACTTGAAATCAATTTTCACGAGCTGATAGAAAAGTAATTAAGCCAATGAATATATTTAAATATTATATTGTATTGTACCAGGTCGAGCTCGACTGGGTGGTATACCAGTGGGAGTCATAGCGGTTGAGACCAGGACGGTAGAGATTACACTGCCAGCGGATCCCGCCAATTTGGACTCTGAATCCAAGACTCTGCAGCAAGCTGGACAGGTGAGTTTATCCTAATTTTATTTTGTGCTAGCAGTAACACGGGCTCGCGTTAAATTTTTTAGTAAGCGAGCGACCTATCTCCGATTACTATATCTACCGATACTTTCACATATTAAAAATTATTCATTATAACCGTTACAGTCTAGCAAGTTTTTACAGGTTTTACAATTTGCTTACAAAATTTATTTGAGAAACAGCTTTAAAGCGATCCTCTTACTCCAAGGGGTTAATATCAACCATGATATTATCATTTTATCCATTCCATTGCTGCATAATCCTCTCGGAAAGTCGAGAAAGCATATGATCTGCAGTCTGCAATATATGTAGGCAGATACTTCTGATCGTTATGCAGGCAGGATAAAACTATCAAACTGGCATTTCGTTGTGTTTTGTAGGAGTGTGGGGAAACTACATTTAATTTCTTAATTTTCTTTTATAATTTTTATGTTGTACCCGCATTTAGTGTTTTCCTTAAAATATATATAATAATTATGTAAAAACTAACAGCAAAAGTTGACCTTATTTCGAGATAATTTTTCGTTTAATTGCCATATTAGGTGCTTATAACATTAATTATATGACGCCGTTGTGCTCGGCACCCGTCGATGTGCAAGGTACTAACTCGTAATAAGGTGCAATGAAACTATAACTGATCAGTACAAAGATAGTGACTCGTTCGGAGCGCAATTGGATAATCTATATCAATTTGCGTTGGGTTTTATTGTGACGCTAGGCATTCTTCCATGTTTTATTTGTGTTCACTGGTCACATCTCACACTATGTCTTTATAGTTACAGCCTATTAAAGTCCATTGTTAAACATAGGCCTCCCCCATAAATTGCCTCATTATTAGGATATTTACCACACTTCACCGCAACCGCAGTTTTTTTTAGTCGTTAGGAAGACGCTGCTGCCCATCTTCTGATTTATTTCCCTCGATCGTCTCTTACGACACCCACGTGATGATATGGGGTAGTGGGTACACCGCCACGACACGGTAATCACTCACTATTATATTAAAGAGAAACTTTTCAATGTTTGATGTACACCGAACTTAATAAAAAATTAAAAGAGAGGAAAAATTAAAAAAAAAAGACACTGCTGGATTACACCTTTCTAGACGTTAATTTGAGATCTGTTTTCGTAACGACGTCAGTGCAGTGCAAATGGATGACTCAGAATAAATTAAAATACGTGTGGCACTCGGTGACTGCCGCGGTAAAGCTATTGCATAGCATTTTTTATCAACTTATGCAATTATAATTATTTTTTATTTATTTTATTTATGCAGTTAAGTCTTTGATATTAAATCAAGTTACACTTTTTGAGCGTGGTGACCGATAAGAAAACAATTTTTTTTCTCTTATTGAATAAATGAGAAGTTAATATTGTTTAAAATATTATTAATATCTTACAATACATGTAGGTTATTCAGGAATTTTTATCATTGAGTTAGCAGCTAGTGTACACGCATACGTTTAGTCGCACGCACACAAACACCGTGCCGAAGTCTGCCGAGTGCCGAAGTCTGCCTTTCAACGCCACACCTCCGTGTCCGTCGGAGTGGGGAGCGTGAGGTTATTTTTCGTTACGGAATTTCTGGATTCGGTCCCCGCGCTCAAGGCCCGTGATAGAAGCTATGCAATAGCTTAATAATGCCGGACACCCCTTATATCCGTATTCCGATTTGTAGATAAAATAAATCAATTTTCCCAGGTCTGGTTCCCTGACTCAGCATACAAGACGTCGCAAGCTATAAACGACTTCTCACGCGAGAACCTGCCCATTATCATTTTCGCAAACTGGCGAGGATTCAGTGGCGGTCAGAAGGGTAATATTTTTAAATTAACTTACATTTACAGTAAAACAATTGATCTGTTATTTTTAGCCGGCTTTGGAAAAGAGGAGGTTCGATATCTTAGCCAACTGTGGACATTTTAAAAGATTTTTATAGGCTACGTCTCAAGGGTGAAACATTAAAATTTTAAGAAAAATTCACCCATAAGAGTGGGAAAATAAGCGATGAAAATTTACTATATATGTTAAGACGATATTCTAATTACCTTGAGCTTGAACTTTGTATTTTGTGTATGTCAAATATACATAATTTGACCTACACAAAGTTTAAAAAAATTTGAAGATTGTAATTACATGATTGTAAGTTCTTATTTAAAGATAATTCCGCCAGGTTTCTTACTGATTCTTTCCAGGACAGAGGTTTTTTTTTATCGAACCAGCGATAAATTAAAAAAAAAATGGGACTTTCAATAAGTATTATTTATAACCTGTATTGATTAAAAAAGTTTCTGTATATTGTAATATTGCTAAATTCACTCAAATGGATCAAAATTAACTACTAATAAAGGGTTGAAACCGATTTTATCTATAAAGAATAAAATAGTTTCCACATAATAACTTACGAAGTCGGGGGTTTTAACACTTCGATACACTGTCTTAGTATCAACTTGAATTTTGGTTTTAAGAGCTTGAGTTTTGAGTTCTTTGCAGTCGGCATTTACTATTTATTATAACTTGAATTTTTTAAATTAAATTTCTAATATGACATCAGTCCATGCATAAACATCATGAATGAGAATGCATAGTGTCTTCTCTATTCTATTGATTAGTTTGACTAGCCTTTGACTAGTTAGTTTTTTCGATTTTTCGATTCTCTTGCTCTATTTTTTCTATACGTTCGCATAGTGTCTTCTCTATTCTATTGATTAGTTTGACTAGCCTTTGACTAGTTAGTTTTTTCGATTTTTCGATTCTCTTGCTCTATTTTTTCTATACGTTCGCATAGTGTCTTCTCTATTCTATTGATTAGTTTGACTAGCCTTTGACTAGTTAGTTTTTTCGATTTTTCGATTCTCTTGCTCTATTTTTTCTATACGTTCGCATAGTGTCTTCTCTATTCTATTGATTAGTTTGACTAGCCTTTGACTAGTTAGTTTTTTCGATTTTTCGATTCTCTTGCTCTATTTTTTCTATACGTTCGCATAGTGTCTTCTCTATTCTATTGATTAGTTTGACTAGCCTTTGACTAGTTAGTTTTTTCGATTTTTCGATTCTCTTGCTCTATTTTTTCTATACGTTCGCATAGTGTCTTCTCTATTCTATTGATTAGTTTGACTAGCCTTTGACTAGTTAGTTTTTTTCGATTTTTCGATTCTCTTGCTCTATTTTTTCTATACGTTCGCATAGTGTCTTCTCTATTCTATTGATTAGTTTGACTAGCCTTTGACTAGTTAGTTTTTTCGATTTTTCGATTCTCTTGCTCTATTTTTTCTATACGTTCGCATAGTGTCTTCTCTATTCTATTGATTAGTTTGACTAGCCTTTGACTAGTTAGTTTTTTCGATTTTTCGATTCTCTTGCTCTATTTTTTCTATACGTTCGCATAGTGTCTTCTCTATTCTATTGATTAGTTTGACTAGCCTTTGACTAGTTAGTTTTTTCGATTTTTCGATTCTCTTGCTCTATTTTTTCTATACGTTCGCATAGTGTCTTCTCTATTCTATTGATTAGTTTGACTAGCCTTTGACTAGTTAGTTTTTTCGATTTTTCGATTCTCTTGCTCTATTTTTTCTATACGTTCGCATAGTGTCTTCTCTATTCTATTGATTAGTTTGACTAGCCTTTGACTAGTTAGTTTTTTCGATTTTTCGATTCTCTTGCTCTATTTTTTCTATACGTTCGCATAGTGTCTTCTCTATTCTATTGATTAGTTTGACTAGCCTTTGACTAGTTAGTTTTTTCGATTTTTCGATTCTCTTGCTCTATTTTTTCTATACGTTCGCATAGTGTCTTCTCTATTCTATTGATTAGTTTGACTAGCCTTTGACTAGTTAGTTTTTTCGATTTTTCGATTCTCTTGCTCTATTTTTTCTATACGTTCGCATAGTGTCTTCTCTATTGTATTGATTAGTTTGACTAGCCTTTGACTAGTTAGTTTTTTCGATTTTTCGATTCTCTTGCTCTATTTTTTCTATACGTTCGATGTTGGATGCCCATTTATAAAGCATGAAACCTACTTTGTGTAATAATCTGGTAAGCTCCTTTTTCAATTCTTTAACCTTATTTACTATTGAGTGTCCTGTTAAAACGTCATCAATGGAGTCAAAGTAGTCTCTATAATTTCGTCATGAAAGTAATTCCTTTCATCCTCAGCTGACTGCTTTAATGTCATTGTAGTAAGATACGGTGCACACTAAGTGCCATATGTGACGATGCCATATGTATGCCATGTGTTGTAAGCTAGAAATGTTGAATTGCTTTTCAGCAAATCGAAAAGTAACTCTTTGCCTTCTGCTTCAAATATCAATAAAAATTTGGCGGTTCCACCTTATCGTCACATCCCTTAAATCGCCCTTAAAAGGTGGCCCAATCATAAGATTGTCATTTAATAATTTGCCATTACTTGCTTTTGCAGAGCTGTCATAGACATCACTAAGTTTTGATGTTCGCGGTAAATAACAAATTTTAATTTTTGTGGCAATGTTCTCTATAGGTATTAGCTTCATGTGATTTTGTTCAAGATGTCTGTCAAGATGTCTGTCATAAACTCGTGATATCTAGTTTGCAGGTCTGAGTCTCTATAAATTTTACCCTCCAACGATGCTAACCTTTTTTTGGCTAGTGTTAATGATTTACCGATATCCGGTGCGAAGGTTGAAATCAGTGACCGAACTTGGTAACGCCCATTTTCTATTTTCAGATGTGTTGATTAAAAGTGATTTTCACGCTTAATCTCTGCATTTGCCATTATCCGTTTTTAGGGTTCTGTACCCAAAGGGTAACCAGTGGAACCCTATTACTATGCCTCCGCTATCCTTCTGTCCGTCCGCCGCCCGTCTGTCTGTCAGCGGGCTGTATCTCATGATCCGTAATAGGAAGACAATTGAAATTTTCACAGAATGTATATTTCTGTTGCCGCTATAAGAATAAATAACAAAAATAAATTAATAACTAACGGGGGCTACCCTACTAAAAACGTGTTTTTACTATGGTACGGAACCCTTCATGCGCGAGTCTAACTCACACTTGGCAGATTTTTTCACTCATCACCTCAATCTCCTAAAACCTTTTTTTTAATACTAAACAAAGAATAGTGTTTATTTGAAAATCTTTCCAAAAATTTGATAACATTTCGCACTTTCTTTCTATATAAGATTTTGTTAATGTTTATTTCCTTTTTGAAATCGTTGAATTATTTATTAATTTGATTATTGAAATCAATCTGAGACTTGCAAAAATCCTCCACACGCATCGTGATGTTTTGTCTGATACTGAATCCGGCTCGAAGTACCACATGCTTAGGGAAATAATTGAACATGGTCTCCGAAAACATACAGAGTATTTATTTCGAAGTTTGCTAATGTCTATTACAAAAAACAAATGAGAGCCTGATGCTAAATACAATCAACACTATCTAGGATAATTATTGCAATCTTTAGCAGTTAGCTGAAATAGGGGCCTAATTTGTCTTAACGATCGAATTTTTTATATCGTGTTATTTTTTGTAATGGTTAATAAAGTTGTCTTACTTGTTTCTTTTTTTGTGACTTCATGTTTATAAAGAGAATATAATTGCGTGTGGTTGTGGTCAGACATGTACGAGCAGATCCTGAAGTTTGGTGCGGAGATTGTACGCGCGCTGCGTGGAGCCACGGCGCCCGTGCTCGTGTACGTGCCGCCCGGCGCAGAGCTGCGCGGCGGCGCCTGGGCCGTCGTCGACCCCAGCGTCAATGCGCAGCGCATGGAGATGTACGCCGACCCCGACGCCAGGTGCGACACCAATCCACACTCGTTCACTCACGCACTCTCACACTGTACGTGCTCGTGTATGTGCCGCCCGGCGTAGAGCTGCGCGGCGGTGCCTGGGCCGTCGTCGACTCCAGCGTCAACGCGCAGCGCATGGAGATGTACGCCGATCTTGACGCCAGGTGCGACACCAACCCACACTCGTTCACTCACGCACTCTCACACTGCTTGTGCACACGTGCTTGTGTACGTGCCGCCCGGCGCAGAGCTGCGCGGCGGTGCCTGGGCCGTCGTCGACCTCAGTGTCAACGCGCAGCGCATGGAGATGTACGCCGACCCCGACGCCAGGTGCGTCACCAACCCACACGCCAGGTGCGACACCAACCCACACTCGTTGACAATATACACAGATTGCGCTATTATCATTTCGTTTAGGCCAATTACCATACCTTGACCGGCGACGAGAAGCATCAAAAGTATGAGACTGCTGGTACTGCGTTCGCCAATCCGCTCTCGAAGCTTAATGACTCATACAAATCCATACCTACCGACAGCAGAGAGTATTTTAAAGAAGGAGTGAATGAATGATTGTATAAATTTTATTTTAAAGAAGTTTTAAGAATTGTAATTTAAAGGGGGAATGAATAAATGATTTATTTATATAACCTATCAAAACTGTTAAACATAAGCCATAGATCCTTATAGAGGAAATTTTGTCATAGTTGCTACGGTGAGGAGACGGGTTGGCAACCTCATTCTTTTTATTAGTGTGTGTTGTTATGAGGAACATGCTGATCATCTAATATTTCATTTGTTTCGCCTATTGTGGGTTGGTGGGCATTATGTCGCCCCTGCACAGCGGGCAACACAGACCGAATAGCACAGCCTTAAAAACTTTTATTAATTCTTGATGAAAACATTGATTTTAGAATCGTGTCTATCGAATCTATGTTTTATTATGAAAAGAACTTGCTTTAATAATTGAAAACGTTTTAATTTCCGTCAATAGGGGTGGTGTGTTGGAGGCGGAAGGCATAGTGGAGGTTAAGTTTAAGCAACGGGACATACTGAAGACAATGCACCGGTTGGACCCGGAGCTGTTACGGTTAAGTGCTCGAATCTCAGGTGGGTTAGACATTCAGTTTGTTACCTAACTTAAAGCATAAAATTAGTCTTTGACTATAACGTGTGTATAAGATTACAAATTAACATGATATTATGTAAAAGTTACATCAGTTAAACTATCAAACCTACATGATAAATGGCCAAATACTCAAACGCGTCAGAGTATTTTTGCAATAGGGAGTATAATTTACTATTTATGCTTACTGTCTCGTTGGTCTAGCTTCTCATGAGGTCCTGGGTTCGAATTTGCAGTCCAGCAAAAATCTGTTGTTGGGTTTTTGACAAACAATTCTCAGTAGCACCCCGGAGTCAGGAAGTTAACGGTGCCACACCCTTGGAAAACAAGTAAGACCGGTCCTGCGTCTGATATCTCTCCGGTCGTGTCGGACTGCCGTCCCATTGGACTATGAGAGTGAGGAAACAGAAAGTGCACTTGTGCTTGCGCACACACTCTTGAATTATAATCCTGACGTGCGCAGTCGGCTAGTCATAAGGTGAGACTGGCCGCCATGAATGAAATTCGGTGTGGTGGACATTACGTCATCAAAATTTTCGTAACCATATGGTTAACGAACAAAATATTTTTGATTTATTTTTGATAAAAATTGGCGGAGTTTTACTTAGCACCTGGTATCGTTAATTGGAAATTTTAATATGCAGTTTTATTACGTGTTCGACATAACTGAAGTTAATTAAACGTAGTAGGGAAATTAAATATACCAAGATGAAGTAGTCAGCGCATTGGACAGGCTCCAAAACCCTACCAAAAACGAGAGGAGGCCTATAACGAGCAACGGGGCAGTGAATATAGTACGATAGCAGTGGGACAATTATTAAACTTATCCATTATTTTGTATTAAAATACATATGGACGTCGAGATGGGTCGGCTCAAATGGGGAAGGACCACGATCTCACGGAATACTAGCGTGAAATAGCACCTTAATGCTGCTGAGTTTTTACTGGATACGAGATATTCCATCTCAGTCCTCACAAAAGACAGCGCTACAACACAACAGGCATTCACCACTAAGTGGACTGTGTGCTCGCTTGTCACCGTTATATATATATATATATATATATATATATATATATATATATATATATATATATATATATAAATGTGCTCTATTCTCAATTGCCAATTTGCTCGATAAACTTACGTTTAGGATATCCATTGCAAACGTTACTAAATAATCAATGAACTTTTGTGCATTGTTACAGAAATTAAAGATCAAATTAAAGAAATATCTAAAGGCTTTGATAGGAGAGGTTCCATTGACGACGTGCTCGTCCGAACTGATGCTGGAAATCAAGGTAGAGTAACTTGATATCATTTTTATTACTATATTTTTTTCGTAGTGGCAGTGTAATTAGACGAATAATATAAAATTCAAAATTCGACCAATTGTGTTGGAACAACGTATTTGTTTTGTATAATAGTTGTATTTGTTTGCGTAACTTTATATTTTACTCACACAGTCAAGAAATTGATCTTGCTCTCATTCAATTGGTTAACGCGTTTTGGATGAAAACTCATGTATGTATGTTCGTTTTATTTTATCTATCTTTTTGGCAGTTATTTTACCTATTATTTACCTAACAACCTATTTTACCTATCTCATTGGCAATATACACACATGATTTTCTTTTTTGGTCGGGTTTATTTCACGGTAACTTTCGAATGATATAAATTAGTTAAATATTCTATGCTTACGTATTAATATGTTACACTTATATTTGATTTTATATTAAAATATATTTATTAATAATAATGATATTTTTTATTTTTAAAAAATATCGTTATTATTAATAAATATTTTAATTTTTAAATATTTATTAATAATAATTATTTAAAAATTAAAATTAATTTACAAAATAATTGATTTGATTATACAAAGAAGGGCCAAGGAATGTAAAAAATGTATGCATGAAAGAATGCCTTAATATACTTTATATACCGTACCCTTATTATGACTTATATAATGAAAATCAAACCGATTGCTATTCTGTTTAAAGTCACTCTTTCTATCAGGGAGTCTACAGAAAGCAGATTTAGCTATAATATTACAGTTGTAATAGGAGGGAAAATTGCGACGGATCTTTTATTTCATCTAATATCCCAATCTGAAATTTTGAATGTACTCTGTTATCATCTCAGCGACAAAAAGACAATCGTTGGGCAAACAGTCCGAATAATCAAGGTGTGGTAGTTCTTGAGAAGCCTTTGAGAGGATTATAATATTAGATATGATATTTAAAGAATAATTTTTTAATGATAATATCTTTAATCATAAGGCAACAGATATATAGGAACTGTTTATGTTCATTCTTTTAAAATAATAATGAGATATAAAAAATTATCAAAAGTTTGTACTGCCTACTAAGGGCTTATCTGTGGTCCATACTATTCAATTGAAGCAACGACAGAAAAATTGTGGTATTTCGGCGTAATGCTTCCTTACACATGTTTAAACATTCGCTTGCGTATTGTTTTTGCTTTTCTTCACTCAAATAAATTTAATGAAATTCTTGTTATAGCGGAATCTCGAGTCCGGGAGCTGGAGACGGAGTTAATTGCAGCGGAGAAGACTGTGAAAGCCCGGGAGAAGGAGTTGAGTCCTATATACCATGAAGTAAGTAATTGGTTATCGTGTAGAGGCGGCATTAGAATATCCACTACATCATTTCATCCCGTGGAATAGGATATAGGCGGCAACATATTCCTGATGACATCAATAAAAACTACGATGGTCATTCCACTTATCAAATGTGGCAAATGAGGCAAATATCCCTCATAAGAGGCAATCTACTGGTGGATTTGGTGTTCAAATCAAATTCATTTATTTGCATAATACAGGTATAGAAGTTGTTACAATAAATTGGAATATGTACACTGTATTATTATTATTACCTTATGAGGTGTGCAAATACACTACAATATGGACTACGTATTAGTAATGATGTTGATGATAATTATTTAACTGTTTACCAGTACTAGGCTTCCATTTGAGATGTTGGTTCTTCGAGGTATAGGTCAGCTCATTATCGCTTTAGCTTACTGAGTGCTATATGAAAGCGAAATGTAGGGCGGTGCTACATTAGATAGATTGACGACCTGGCAAGTCGATTGGAGCTGATAGCTTGGAAATTTATATGGTATTCTTTGAACGAAGCTTATACATGAGTTTTTATAAAACTAAAATGACAAGAGAATTTACAGTCCCAGTACGGTAGACCATAGCAGCAAACTTTAAACAAAGAATACTAACATGGATTGTTACCTCTGAGGATTAGGAAGGAATAATTACACACTGTGTGGCACTCCCCCACAGTGTGTAATTATACTGATTTTCTGTGTCCGTCAGATCAGAATACAGCAGTGCACGTATTGATATTTGACGACGGAAGTAGATAGAGGGTGATACCTACCCTGACCGGCTCCTTGCTATAAAAAGAGTTGTACTTGATAAAATATAGTATAGTGAAATCATGTTAAGAAAACTTATTTTTTGTTTGCAGTATTATTTCTCTTTACGGCTTTGTAAAGCAATTTGTAAAGAAACGAGGCATTCCATCCTAGTCCTCACGGGTGACAACGCATCTGCATTTTGATTCGTAGTCGAGGATAGACGTAGATGTCTATGGGCCACAGATATATAACATGTAACATAATTAACGCACTTTGAGAAAGTAGTTTGTTCAGAATCGTTTACTGAATCAATTCCTATCATTTTTAATATAGGTAATTTTTTATCCCAAAAATAATTAAAATTACGTAAATTACAGTCACAATAAATCTGTACAGTCAAAACAAACTGAAATGGATCGTAAATTAAGGCAATAAGACTTTTAAGAGTGCAGTTTTATTTGTATTATTACTAATTCTGTCATTCAATAAAAATAAACAAAAATGAACTTTATTTCAAGCACGTTAAAGTCTTTGCGTTCGTGGATTTGTACTGTGACCAAAACATTCTTCCGGAATTAGTATAACTAATTTGATAAATAATCAACGCATAAAAATGTTAAACTAAAATTCAGTGTATGTATTATGATTATAACATAATATACTAATTGGGGTGTCTGAGGGTGTGCGTTAATTACGTTACATATTGTATATATATATATATATATATATATATATATATATATATATATATATATATATACAGAATGGGTCCCACATATCACAGGTAATAATACTAGTCCGTAGAAGTGTAGAAAAATTAAATATTAAATTAAAACCCGTAAAATAAAAAAGTGAAATTTTCAAACAAAAAAGTGAACACTCTGTTTAGACAACGTACCTTCACCCCTTGGAAGAGTGACAACGTTGCACGCGGGTGGCACGCCGACAAAAGACACCGCTGTCGATATGTCGCAATACCAATAGTTTGCACTGCGTGGCAACGGCGCTTTTTAATGTTCAAGGATTCAAGTTCATTGAATCATTGACTTAGTGACCCAATTCTATAGAGTGTTCAAATTTGCTTAAAATTAAAACTCTACTTTTTGACCTAATTACTGGACCGATTACGTTCATTTTTTGTATATCGTCAGCAAAGGCGATAACAAGTATATGGTTTCATTTATTGCATATATGTGGGACCCATTCTATATATATATATATATATATATTATATATATATATACACAATTTTTATAACATTACTAGTGATTTGTTCCGGCTCCGTACGGGTTATTTCTAAATTTCGACAATAGTTTTACCTATCGGGTCCAAATTGTGAATTTAAACCACCCAGAGACTTGGACAAACACACAAAAATTTTAACAGAATTGATCGAGTCAGTTTTGAGTTTTAGCGAAACTAATGGATAGCAAATGATTTGCTGATTTTTTTGCTAATTTTTATTTGCAGATTGCTGTTCAATTCGCAGAGCTACATGATACAGCAGAAAGAATGCTTGAGAAGGGCTGTATATTTGTAAGTTTACATTTAAATTTTTTTGTGGTTTCCATAGAAAATATATTTTTCTTTATTTGAGTCATTTGATAATTTAATGTTGTTATAAATTATACTTTAATAATTCTAGAACAGTTTTTTTTAGTTTTCTAAATTTAATTAATTTGAGTAAGTCGGTAGAAAAAATAAGTTATACGCGATATAATTCGTGAAAGTAGTTTTATTTTATCATTTTTTTTACATTTATATTTGTTTTACGAGTACATAGAGTGGGAAATAAAAATAAGGAGGGAGAACAGCATTTTCTTGATAAAAACTCGAAATTATAAAACACTGCGGTTCTCAACTCGTTTGTCAAGAGTGGTAAATATGGTAAAAATGTTTCCTATGGTGGAGGGCTGTCTTCAGCTTAATGGGATATAATGATGATACGAGGGTGACACTGAAAGTTAATAGAAAATCAAAAACTGAACAAACTAGCTATTGACTTATTAGTTTTATTATATGTTATCATACTAGTGTCCATTTATCAATACATCGCTGCGTCCGATGGAACCACTGATAAAAGCATTTTGGCCACTCGTCTTTTGGGGTCTCTTCGACGGCATTTTGAAACGCAGTTACTACTTCCTCGGCGTTCATAAAACGTTTTCCTCGAAGTTTTTCTTTTATTTTTGGAAATAAATAAAAATCACAAGGTGCGAGGTCGGGACTATAGAGCGGGTGACCCAGTAATTCCAAGTCTGACGTCACCAAGAAGTCGATTGTTTGCTTGGCGGTGTGCGACGAGGCGTTGTCTTGGTAAAGGAGGATCCTACTGCGAGGTTGTTTCTCCTAAACTTTTTCCAAGACAAGTGGCAAACAATTGTCAGTGTACCACGCTGCAGCAACTGTTTTTCGTTCCTTTAAAACAATTGTTGCATAATGACCTGTCCTTCCGAAGAACGAGGCCACCATCTTTTTTCCCACGCTTCGATCTCTCTTCAATTTAGTTGGCAACTCTTCGTAAGGAAACACCCTGACAACAGACTGTCTCTTAGTGTCAGGATCATAACAATAAATCCAGCTTTCGTCATCCGTAAGTATGTAGAACACGGTATTTCAGTCACCTCCGTTAAATCTTTGAACCATTTCACGACACCAATCAACATGACGGAGTTTTTCGACTTCTGCCTGCCTGCTTCTGTCAAATTATGAGGTATCCATCGGGCACTAAGCTTCCTAATCGCTAAATGTTCATGGAGGAGGATTGTCTTGACTCATACCGATGCCTAAGCTTGTCCGAAACTGCCACTCTTTTGTCAGTTTCTGTCATATGCCGCACAACACTAGTGTTTTTTTAGTCGTCGCAGTAGAAGGCCGTCCCTCACGCAGATCATTGGTGAGATTAGTGCGACCATGTTGGAACTCATTAAACCAGTTTTAAACTGTGTCACGAGATGGGGCTTCATCGTGAAAGGTTAATCGAAGTCTATTAAAACTTTCTTGTTGACTTAAATGATCTCGAAATTCATAAAAAGTCATTGTACTAAAATTTTCTCGCATTAAATTCTTGCTGTCGTGACACAGACAATTTTCAATTTGCCGCCAAATCGTAAACAAGTGACAAATTAATAAAATACGTACCTACACATTAATATTGGCAAAGAGTTCCATTTTCAAAATTTGAACTTATTGTTTTATTATATTGTTTACACGTGGCCAGTTCTAAAAACTTTCAGTGTTGCTCTCGTATGCGATGTATGCGCGTGCGGAGGGTGTTATAATTATAAAAGATACTAAATATTGTAAATTTTTGTAAAAGTAACTTATCGTAAGCTTAGCGTCGAAGTATTTAAAGAGAGTGAAAATAACAACTAGAAAAGAGTATGAAAGTGGTTCTGATAAGTGTCAGCGTTGGTCGGCAGGACATAATCCCGTGGCGCGATTCGCGGCGGCTGCTGCACTGGCGGCTGCTGCGGCTTCTGCGGCAGAACGCGCAGGAGCGGCGCGTGCAGGCGGCCGGGCGGCCCGCTGCCCATATGGACCAGGGTGCTGCCGCAGCCACGCTGCGCCGCTGGTTCACCGAGGACCGCGGCGAGACGCAGGTGCGGCCCGCATGTTGCTTGTTAGTGTCGGTCGGCAGGACATAATCCTGTGACGCGATTCGCGGCGGCTGCTGCACTGGCGGCTGCTGCGGCAGAACGCGCAGTAGCGGCGCGTGCATGCGGCCGGCCAACCCGCCGGTCATATGGACCAGGGCGCCGCCGTCACCACCCTGCGCCGCTGGTTCACCGAAGACCGCGGCGAGACGCAGGTGCCCAGCCTGCCCGCACCTCGCCTCAGCTCACACGACGCCACGTTTTGTGACATCCGCACACATACGCTACGCCGTCACCACGACTCATGAAATTCACCAATTTTGAAAATCTAGGCTTCTCAGGACTTTCAAACTTTAACAGCGTATACCGGCTATCTTAGTGAAGCAATACCTGACAAGTTTGACAAGAATACTTATTTACAGTCAACCAAATCTAAGAAATACCTTTTGACGTTTCACATTAATCATTCCGCAATAACTTTGCACAAGCGTACTCACACGATTTAAAATAACCTTTAAAATTTACGTAAATCTGAAGAATTATAACTTATCTATATTTCATTACAACGTGTATAGTTTTTATCACTTATTTAAATTTGAACTTTTATATAAAGCAAAATATTAAAAAATAACCTGTATTTAACTTTTTTACTTGACGTTGTTTCAATGACATGTCGCTGTGTATAGTACCGTAGTGTTTGGATGATTAAAATTTATTGTTATGCGAATAATCGGAAAAATATTCAAATAATCGGTGAAAATATTCTAATAATCGAATCATTAATTTCTTTAATGTATTATTTGTTTAATTTAATTTTTATTTTCAAAATTCCTTAAATTACATGAATCATGAATAAAACAAGTTTATTTTTTCCACTTTGTCAAAGTAAATTTTTATAGGAAAAAAACTCATATACAAAGCCGTGCTAAAATAACCACTACATAATTTCAATATTCCGCCATTTCGGTACCAGTTACTCGACTCCACAGTATCTGTAGGGGGTATTTTGTGAATTGTGACCCTCTACATATAATTGATATGTAGTATATTAATGTAGGTTGTATCTTCTACGTTACGGGATGTGGTAATTAAAACTGTGTCCGTTTCCGTAGAGAGCGTTTATTGTACTGAAAATACTTATGAATAAAAAATGTAATTATAGTGAACGTGTCGCGCGCGCAGGCGCGATATCAGCATTATTTTCTAAACTGTTGAAATATCATGTACTTGCTCGTACATCTTGCCAATTTTATAAACAAGAAGAAAGTTTAAGGCGATGAACCCCTATTGAGTTTACGGGCAGCCGTTGCGATCACCGCATCCACACTATCGATGTCCGAGACCCCATGCTCCGATGAATGTCCTTGGGTTGGCTGCTCGACATTGTTGGGGTCTGGCTTGTCGCGAAGATTCACGCTGCAGCCTTGACATCTTCTTTTCAGCCGGAATGTCCCCCATGCCATGAAGGCTACAATAATAAATCCGACTACGGTGTACAACACATAGTTGTGTGTGTCATGTGTGAGTGATTGTACACTCAGTGTTTGTTGCTGTTCCTTGACCTTATCAATGTTGTTTTTCAGCTCTTGTAAGGCGTCTTTATGATCTTCAGGTCCAAATGTATGATTAAAGTCTGTCAGTATGTGGTTCAGGCTTGATTCACGCATGTACATTCTTTCTTCACTGCCTGTTAGTTTCAACTCGCTGTGATAGTCGTTGCGAGCATGAATGATGATGCTTTCTCCCTTGAGCATACACCCAAGTCCGAGTAACATAATCCCCGTGCCGTGTAAGTGCTGTGACGTCACTCCAGCTGGGCAGAAAATGCGCATCGTGCAGTCTTCGCAACAGGAGAACAGCCACGCGCCACGATTGTGTAATCGCACCCACCTGTCGTTGCAATCCAATACTCTTGTGCGGCATGTTGATGAGTCGCCATTGTTTAATATTTGCGCTTCACATAATGTATCGGCTACCTTAATGTTGTAAATAGGTTGATTGATAGCACATAACATTTTGTTTTCTTGCAGATTTAAGCATGATGATACATCTCGGTTTTCTAAGGGTATTATCATGTCCCCTTCTAGGTTTACAGCAAGGTATTCAGATGTGAGTACTATAGTTTTCTCTGTGTGTCCAGTTATTTGCGGAATAGGAATGATGTGGTTAAGTTCATATTGTTCGTTGTTTATTAGCGGTAGCTTCACTTCGAATATTATGTATGCACTTGTTAAGCGCACGTGCACTCGCGCCAGCTTGTATAGGCTTCGCGTGCAATGGCGTGTGTTCACACAGGGTAGCGATAACTCGCTTGGTAAATGACCGGAGATGATGTTGAGCTGATCTTCAAATTGGTTGGGCTTGATGAGATGGGTGTCAACTCTCCCGTCCTTCACGTCAGTTACTAGGTCTAGGAGTTGCTGTTGTATTTGTCGTATGTTTGAAATGATCAAGTTCACGGCCAGAGCGGTAGCTGTTATGTACATAGCATTGTCATGGCTGATTTGTATGCGTTTTTCCGTTTCAGCGAGATGATTGTCGATGATACGAAATTGTGTGTTCATTACTTCCTCGTTTCTTTTTAGAAGATTATATTCACTTTCGATGATCGATGTGTGATTTTTGTAGAGATTCAATAGATGATTTTCGTTTGACTGGATTATGTTGATATCCTTCACGTACTGATTGGCAAATCTCTCATCCAGAGTACCAAAAAGGGAGTTTGCTAGGTATCCTATTCCATTCACTAGTCCTCTTTTTCTTCGAGACGGTCCATGTTCTGATCGTAAGATATCGTTATAGTGTTGAATTTCGTTAAGTTCGTGTTGAAACTGGGATGAAATTGTAAGATAGGCTGCTTCCTTCTTGCATAATGTGTTCAAATGGTTGACATAGTTTTGTATGTTGTCCAAACTCCGCCAATATGTCGTCATGTTGTAGTATACAACCATTTTCCACTTATCTTGAATAATCTGCACATCAGACACCTTGTCAAAATAAACGACTCTTGAACTGCTAAGTCTTGTTATGTTGATCATTTGTTGCGTAGTAGGTCCAACACACATCGAAAATATAAGTAGTAACGTACAAAAAAGGTTGTTGAAGTGTTTTTTGCCGTTGTTGTTTCTTCGTTTTCTTTGTGTATTTATTGCAGGCTTCGTAGTGTCAACGTCAGAAGATGCAGTTGTATAAGATGACGGATCCAACGGAAGGCGTGACAATTTTGTAATCGGTCGCTTCATATTACTTGTTTTAGTTTTCAGTGTGACGACTCGTACCCGGCCGTCCGCACCTGGGTGAGTCTCCAACACCCGTCCCAGGATCCATTTGGCAGGAGGAATGTTGTCTTCTCTGACGATAACGACGTCCCCAACTTCTAAGTTTTTAGTAGGGAAGTGCCATTTGCTTCGAGTTTGTAGAGTTTGAAGATAGTCAGTAGACCCCACCTTCTCCAGAAGTCCTTGTACATTTTCTCCGTAAGTTGCCATCTTGTAGAGAAGGTCATGTCATTACCCTCAGCGGATAGTGGTGATTCTAGAGAAGGCTCGCCGATTAGGAAGTGAGCTGGTGTCAAGCAGTCAAGGTCTTCGATATTCTCTGACAACGCCACCAGGGGGCGAGAGTTGAGACATCCTTCAATCTGCGCCAACAGTGTAGAAAATTCCTCGAACGTAAGTTTTTGATCCCCAAGTACTCGTTTGAGGTGATGTTTCAGGCTTTTTACTGCAGCTTCGTAGAGTCCACCAGCAGTAGGCCAGGAAGGGGCGTTAAAATGCCATTCAATGCCCCACTCTGACATGTTAGTTATGACGTCATTGTTTATGTAGCATTGTAATGCCTCCTTTCGTTGTTTTTCCAATGCTCTTGCTGCGCCCACGAAGTTGGTGCCGTTGTCGCTGTAGATGTGACGGGGCTTTCCTCGGCGGGCACACATTCGTTTCAAGGCGTTCAGAAAAGCCACTGTGCTGAGATCGGAGACAAGTTCGAGGTGAAGAGCTTTTGTGCACAGACACACAAATACAGCTACGTAGGCCTTCATTGTCTTTATTCCTCTGCCCTTGTTAGCCTTTACCTCCACATGCCCAGTGAAATCTACACCGGTGTGTGTGAAAGGCCTTGATGGTGTGACGCGTGGAGGAGGTAAATCACCCATAAGTTGGTTGTTGTTGATAGTTTTGAAGCGATGACACGTGATGCACCGTATAAGTCGTTTTTTCACTGCTCTCAAACCGCTGATAATCCAATATCTGTTGCGTAGATATGATAGAGTTAGTCTGGCCCCACCATGCAGGGTCCTCTTGTGCGCTTGGTCGATCAGTAACTCCGTTAACCTGTCATTGTAAGGTAAGATAATTGGATGTTTTTGTTCTTGACTTAAGTTGGCATTTTCCAGACGTCCTCCTACACGTAAGATTTCGTGTTTGTCCAGGAATGGATTTAAGTTTAAAATGCTGCTTGTTATTCGCACTTTATGATGTTTATTGAGTTGTGCAATGTCGTCGGCGAAATGATTAGTTTGTATAGCCTTGATAATTGCATTATGTGCGTTCTGCAGGTCACTCGTTGCTAAGTACGATGACCGCATGGCATTGTTGACGTCACGTGCATTGTTTATGAACCGAAGTATCCAACTTAGGATTCGAGTTACGCGTGCCATACAGCTGTGTTTGTTTAAAAGTTCTCCGATTAATGGCATCGACCTTTGTGACACGCAAACTTGTTTGACCTTTTTCTCTTCAACAGTTGTGTGGAATTGGTCTTGAAGTGGGAGATCGTTGTCTTTTAGCCAAATAGGTCCCCACCATAAATGATGATTCGCCAGTTGTAGTGGAGTTAGGCCTCTGCTGGCACAATCTGCTGGGTTATATTCAGACTTGACGTGCCTCCAGCATCCCGATGGCATGATGACAGTGATCTGTGTTACGCGATTAGCCACAAATGTAGTCCATCTTGAAGGCCCCCCCTTGTAACCAACCCATCACGATCATAGAATCTGTCCAACCATG